AGAAATCTGCCTATATTCATATGGGGGTTCCTTTGTATATAATTTCTCTCTTTTACCTTAGTGCTTTAAAAATTTTTTTTTTTTGCCTTTGCCTTTTAACAATTTCATTGTGTGTCCCAATGTAGCGCTCTTTGGGTTCAACCTATTTGGAATCCTTTGGGCCTCTTGGATCTAGATGTCTATTTTTCTCTTCAGGCTTGGAAACTTTTAAACATATTTTCTGTTTCTTTCTTTCTCTCCTCCTTCTGAAATTCCCATAATGCAAATACTGCTTCTTTCCATTGTGCCCCATAAGTCCCACAGGGTTTCTTCACTTGTTTTCATTCTTTTTTCTTTATGCTCCTCTGACTGGATAATTTCAATTGTCCTACCTTCCAGGTCACTGGTTCTTTCTTCTGCATGGTCAAGTCTGATTTTGAAGCTCTCTATTGAATTCTTCAGTTATTGTATTTTTCAGCTATGAGATTTGTTTTTTCCAATGGTTTCTGTTTCTTTGTTGGACTTCTTGTTTTGTTCATACGTTGTTTTCCTAATTTTGTTTAGTTTATTGTGTGTTCTTATAGTTCACTAAACTTTTTTAAGAGGATTATTCTTCTTTGACAGTTCTTAGATTTCCATTTCTTTAGAATCAGTTATTAAATCTTTATTAGGTTCCTTTGGTGGTATCATATTTACCTGGTTTGTAAATGATCTTTGATTCCTTATGTTGACCCCTATGTATCTGAGTAAATGATCTCCTCTTCTAGACTCTGCAGATTCCCATTGGCAGAGACGGTTTTTCACCAGTCAGCTCAGTCCTGGGTTTCTGGACATGTCTGTTGAGAATGCCTTTGGGCAGGTGCGGTCTGCTATTACAGTCTGTTTTTGTATGAGGCAATTGTTTGAGCTCTGAGGCTTGAGGAGAGGGGTGTATGCCACTGGCTACAAATAGCTGGACAGCCCTGCTGGCTCGATTTTCTGCCCAAGCAAGCTGATAGGATGGGCTTCATAGTTGCTGGGATTCTAAGATGAGGCTTACTAGACATTTGGGACTGGGGACTAAACTCCAGTATGTGGGGCTATGAATTAGCTTCTCTGCCATGACTGGGCAGCAGGATGGGACCCAGGGACTTCATGGTTTGTTATTTAGGGGCCTGAATTGGGCAAGAGTGTGCATTAAATATCCTGGTCAGATGAGGTCACCAGTTTTGCCCTGAAGACAAAAAAAAACCCATAGGCTGTGCTTTCTCTCCAAGTTGCACTGTAAACAGGGCTGTTGGATGAGCAACAGTTTCCTGTGTGCTCTCATTCCCTGGTCAGGCAGGCTGACAGCTGTATTCAGCAATAAGAGGGCTATGAATTAGCTTTTCTGCCCACACAAGCAGGGAAAAGCAGCTCAAGGGCCACTAATTCTCTTTGTTTGTGGTTGGACACAAGCCAACTGTGTACCATGTTCCCTGGCCAAAGAGGGCCACTGACTTTGCTCACAGGGGGTGCAATAAGCTCTGTCTATCTTCCTCTCAGCTGGAGAGTTGCTGGGTTACACAGCTTCTGGGTGTTCTCTCCCACCTAGCTGAGGGCCATCTTCTGCAGTGGGTGAGGTTGTATGTCTGGTTCTAGCTTGGGTTAGCCTGGGAGGGCCTATTCCAGGCAACTCCCACATTTTCCCCAAACAGGCTTTCTGGTTGAACAGTGCCAGGAGCCATATCTGCAGCAGGTAGGACTATGGTTTAGCTCTTCTCCCTTGGGCATAGGCAGCCCAGGCTCTAGGTCTGATAGAACTCCTCATTTGGGAAGCCAGGTTAAGCAGACCTGCACCCTGCCAAATCCCCCATGTGCTACGGCCGGGCTCTGCAGATGAGCAAAGCCATAGTTTGGGACTACTACTTCAGTTCTGCAGGTAGGACCTTGGTCTACCAAGACCCAAGTACTGATTGTTGGAAGCCTCTCTCTGCTTTGTCTCAGTTGACTCCCAATGGTTGAGCCCCGTAGATTTCCTCTGCGATCCTCATTGGGTGAAACTATAGCAGGGGATTCCATGAAGCAACCCACAATGCTGGGGCGAGGGTGAATGTCACCCCTGGGCTGTCTCTTCACTGGAGGTACCATTGGCTCAGGGGATACCTCTTGGGATGGTGCTGCACCAGAGAGGCAAAGCAGTCAGTGTGTAGCTTTTCCTCTTACCCTTCTAACATGGTCTCTCTTGGTCTCTGTGGCATAGAGGGATACCTCAGCCTTACTCCCTTGTTCTAGGATTCTCTCAGCAGTGGTTGGTTCATTAATAGTTGTGAGTTGTTCTGGTGAGGGGGGGCAAAGTCAGTAATGACCTAGGTGGAGATCTTGGTGATGTCACTTCCTTTATTTTTTTTTTCTTTTTAAAGATTTTATTTATGTTTAGAGAGGGGAAGGGAGGGAGAAAGAGAGGGAGAGAAACATCAGTGTGTGGTTGCCTCCTGTAAACCCTCAACTGGGGACTTGGCCCCGCAACCCAGGCATGTGCCCTGACCAGGAATTGAACTGGTGACACTTTGGTTCACAGGCCAGCAATCAATCCACTGAGCCACACCAGCCAGGGCCCTTTTTTTACTTCATGAATAATCACTCATTCAGATAAACCCCTCTGACACCCCTGGTGGGAAGCCTCCTGATAATATAATAGGGGCAGGGGTGTCAAACTCATTTTCACCAGGGGCTACATCAGCCTCATGGTTGCCTTCAAAGTGCAGGATGTAATTTCAACTCCTTAACAGTTATGGAGTAGTTTCATTTACACAGTCCTAAAATTATTTCAGCCCTTTGAAGGCAACCACGAGGCTGATGTGGCCACCAGTGAAAATAAGTTTGACACCCCTGCAATAGGGAGAATAAAAATAGAGATTAAGGTACTTTTGTTTTATGTATAGGGAGAGTGAAAGTGGTACCTGAATTTTATATAAATAATTGCAATAACAATTATGATACAAATGACTTTATAACTATTATAGTTGTATTATAAACTATAATAGGTATTACTCAACCTATGTGAGCAATTGATGAATAGGCTGGTTTTTTGCAGTTGGGTTTGGTCAAGTCCTCCCCAATCTCCTACTATGGTATATAAAATAGCTGTAATTAGCAGCCTGTTTACATTAGTGGATGATGAGATTTGATATAAACTTGATAGTGGTGCAATGTTCTGTCATGGTGTTAAAGTCGGGCCAGATGCCAGTAGAACGGCAGCTTCTGTAAGTTTGGGCACCCAAGGGGAGAACAGGGCAGGTCCAGGTTTTATGATGAGAGCTATTGTAGTTGGCCAGAATGCATTGGATTCATAATAGTAGCCATTATTATTTTAATCCTCGCCTGAGGACACACTCCTTGATTTAGAAAGAGAGGAAGGAACGGATGGATGGAGCGAAGGGTGTGGGGGAGACAGACAGACATTGGTGTGAGAGAGAAACATCGACTGGCCGCCTCCCGTACATGCCCTGCCCAGGGAGCAAACCCGCAACCTAGGCCTGTGCCCTGCCTGGGAATCAAACCTGCAGCCCTCTGGTGTGCGGGGCGACACTCAGCCGAGGGAGCCACCTGGCCAGGGCAACACCAGCTGTTACTGAAAGTACAGATCTGGTGGCTTGAGTAACATGTTTAGTGAATGCTCTTGTGGCTTGTGGGTCGAACTTGTTAAACGTGGAATAACGGCTAATACGTTTACTTCAAAGCTGGTTCAGATCATTAATCACTGTGAGTTTAATGTGAAAATCATAGTTCCTGAAATGATTGATAGTGGCAGAAAAATAAGGAGATTTATTGGCACAGGAAGAATATAAACCAGCGCTTTGGGGATATGGGTCTGGTAGCGTACAAAGCCGACCTGACTACAGAGTGTGGTACAATGCGGTACCACAGACTCTTTTTTAAATTCTTAAGAACAGGTTCTATCCCTATAATGCTAGAAACACGAGGATTGAAACATCTATAATTTACTCTATCAAAGTAACTCTTTTAAGACATTTCTTTTGTGTGTGGTGAGATGATTGGTAGAATAAACGATACATGTCATATGCAAAGGGCTAGTGTTCAAATTAGGAAAATTCCTCATGGAAGATGTGTAAATTCACAGAAGAGGCTGATTCTTGAGTAAAGTTTTGATGACAAAATGGACTATAGTTCTACTATATGGAGGGTACAAAGTGCTCCTGGGAATAACACTGTTGTAATAATGATGGCGATCACGTCAGCACGTTCTGCTAAGAAGCACAGGGCCAGTGGGCCTACTGCGCACACAGTGTGGCAGCTAAAAACGAGTTGTGCTCCTCCTCCTGCTGGGTCCAGTGGAGCTCAGCTGGTTTCTGGTAAGTCTGAGATAAATTGTTACATGGCGAGGGGTCAAGGTGGAAAAATTAGCCGTAAGTATTCTTGATGGTGACTACTGTTGAGGTGAATTTATTCACAGAATTTATAATAGAATGATTGCTAGTGTTACTGCGTATGAAATTGTGCTACTGCGTGTACAGACACAATCATATTTTGAATTTAAAGCTCAACCCGACCAAAGAACAGTGCACCCTAGTTTACGCTTGATTAATGGATATGATATGGGTAATGGAATTCATAGTGTCAGGGCCACAGTGAGGGCTAGGATTGGTGCAGTAATAAACATCTTGAGGGTATTAATGGTTATAATGGTTCTTTAATAGCTTGGTGGCATCGACAGTGGGTTGGAGCAGGCTTTGGTCCTTTATGGAGTTGAATATAGCCTAGTACTTCTCATTCAATTGGTGATATATAGTAATAAAGAATGTCATAATGAGTAAAATGGGAATAATTAAAAGAAAGTTAACTATAAACATTGTTAAGGAGAAAAGTTGAACCTCTGATTATAAAGTTTTAAGTTTTATGCTATTACCAAGCTCTGATATTCTACAAACCCTATTCTTGGGCAGGGTTGGTATAGGTTAATTAGATTAAGATTATATCATCTATTAATTTGAAGGTGCTTTTGTAAAGTAGCATTATTTTTCTTGTTCTTTTCATACTAGGATAAAGAAGAAACAGAAACCGACCTAGATTACTGTGGTCCAAACTCAGGTCTCGAAAAACTTTAGTCACTGAACAAAGGAACCATTAGTAGTAGTTACACCCCTGGATGTCCTGATCCAACATCGGGGCCATAAACTCTATTGCTGATACAAACTCTGGAGTAGGACTGCCCTGCTACCTCTCAGGTAACGTGTCAGGCTTTGTCGAGGAGGACGGTGGATAGGCTGTATTAGCAAGATTAGTGAGGTTTATTGGGGTTTATGTAGAGTGATGTAAAGCACCATCAAGTTCTTTGAGTCTCAGGCATTTGCTAGTAGTACTCTGGTAAGTGATTTTGTTACAGTAACTATTTGGGTTTAGGACTAAAGCATAGTGGGGCATCTAATCCCAGTCTGACTCTCAGCTATCAGGGAAGCAAGAATAACCGTCACTCTCATCATTTTTTTTAGCCATAGCTTTTTACAGCCTAATTAAAACTTTGTGATGAAAATCTTTGACGCACTTTATGCTAAAAATCTTAGTTGGTTAATTGGATGACTGGAGGCTGGTGCAAAATAGACAACCCTTATTAGGTTTAACTTAGTCAAACCAGTTCACAGCTTAATTTTTATCACTGCTGTTTCTGGTGGGGGTGCCGTTAGGGAAAGTGTAATGGGCTATTTGCTAACACGCTTGATGCCTGCTCCTTTCAGTCACTGGAGATGTAAAGGCCGTTCTCACTGGGATGCAGACCCTTGCATGTGTAATTAAGAATTAACAACAGGGCTGGACCAAACCTGTGTTTGTGGAATGAGGAAACTCATGTAGGCATTTCAGTGCCTCTATTTATGAAGCTACATTAACAAATACATTAGGGGCTTCCCATCCATTGAAATGGGACTTGAAATTGCACGTGAGTTGTTAGTGGAAGTATTTTCAACTACTGGGGAATAAGTTTTTCTAAACCATAGATTTCAATGTGACGATTTTAGTGTTACAAATTTTTATTTGGTGAAGGATCTTGGCTAAAATATGTCTCAGTTTAATTTGTAACTTACATACTTAGAGTGGAGTAAGCTTTTATGTACTGTTATACTTTAATCTTGTTTTGGGCATTTGCCAAGGTTGTTAACAAATATATACAGTTTAAGGTCTACGGGGGGTAAGGGAGGTTTGCTAAGTTAGTTTTTATTTGGTAAACATACATGTACATGTACCATAGTTCCCCTTATCCATGACTTTGCTTTCTGTGCTTTGTTACCTATGGTCAACTGAAGATATTAAGTGGGAAATTCCTGAAATGGACAATTTTTGTTTTAGGTTGCGTGCTATTCTGAGGAATGTGGAAAAATCTCACACTGTCCCACCACATCCCATCCAGGACTTGACTCCGCCCTCTGTTCAGCACATCCATGCTGTGTTATCTGCTCAGCCATAAGTCACACAGCAGCCGTCTCGATGACCAGAATGGCTCGTAGTGTCATGGTGCCTCGTTCAATATTTTATTTAATAAAAGTACCAAAGTCATTTATAACTTTTCACAGTATATTTTGTAATTGTTCTATTATTGTTGTTGTTGTTAATCTCTTACAGTGTTTAATTTATAAATTAAACTTTATCATAGACACGTACGTGTAGGAAAAACATCATATATATAGGGTTCAGTACTATCTGCAATTTCAGGCGTCTGCAGGGGTCTTGGACCGTATCGCCCCCAGATAAGGGGGACTACTACACATGTAAAATTCCCTTACGTGCTATAAGCATTGACTAAGACCTCTTGGCTGATGTTAGTAAAGGTAAGTATCGTTCAACAGCAGCCTAATTGCAGGTTGCTTGACTGTGTTAAGGTTTCAGATAGCTATAGGTGAGTCACAGCATCTCCCCCTAATTACAAGATACCAAATGTATAATTCAGCTATGTGTGAGTATGGGCTTAGTCCATCAAAATGTCTTATTTAAAAGGACAGAGTGGGTGATTTTAAATGAGATGGTCATGAAGAAAGAACCAGACACCAGATACAGTTCAACTCTAGAAAACCCCACGTTATGAGCCTGGAGCGAGAAGGGGACACATTTGTAAGACGCGTCGCTGGTTTCCTGCAGCTGGGGACTAAGGAAAGTCACCTAAGCTTGGTGACTGAGAGCTGGCAGGATGTAACAGGGTATGTACAATCAGTAACAAAGAGCATCATGTTCTCTGTGTGGGGGTCAAACACATGGTGAAAGGAGACTAAATTTTGGGTGATCAGTGCACAGTGCAATATACAGGTGCTATATTATATTGGACACTTGAAATTTACATAATCTTATTAACCAAGGTTACCCTGATAAATTTAATTTAAAATATTGACCCACAGAATCACAAACAAGTAAGTGCTTGTTATTCTAGGTCACAAAAATATGTTCTATGTAGTGTCAATTATATCTATGGGTTTACAAATAGTCATGTGGAAGAGAATTTTATGCACAATGAACCATCCTGTTATGTAATCGTAGTTTGATGTGCTTATATACATGGAGTAAATAGTTAATATATGATTGTACATATTATGTGTCACATAAATCAAGCACGTAGGTGCTAATACACTGCAATGGGGTAGGCAACTTAATACATGTATTACATAGTAATGGAATAGTCTCGAATGTTTTTTAATTTTTAAGAGTTTATTTACTTTTAGAGAGAGGAGAAAGGACGGAGAAAGAGGGAGAGAAACATCAGTGTGAGGTTGCCTCTCGTGCACCCCCTACTGGGGACCTGGCCCACAATGCAGGGATGTGCCCTGACTGGGAATCGTACCAGTGACTCTGGTTCGCAGGCTGGCACGTAATCCACTGAGCCACACTAGCCAGAGCTCATTTGTTTTTAATATTGACATAGCATGTGACAATGTTTCTCTGTTCACGAGCAACTTTCAGGAAATAGTTTAAGTACAATTTCAGCTTTGGTTGCTGATGATGGCACTGGAGCTTCTTCCTTGATGACCTAGGGAGGTTTTTTACCTTTCCTGATTTACAAGACCAGAGTAATAAATATGCTATGAAGACTCTTCACTTTAGATTATAATTTTTAACTTATTAATTTGAGAGAGGGAGAAACATTGATTTGTTGTTCCACTTATTTATGCATTCATTGGTTGCTTCTTGTGTGTGCCCTGACCTGGGATTGAACCTGCTATCTTGGCATATCAGGACGGCCTAGATTATTTTCACTTAAGCTTGTGAGTGGCGTAAGGACAAGAATTAGAAAATATAAGACTGATGGTAGTTGGCCAATGATAATAAATGGGTTGTCAACTGGTTGTCTTCCAATTCATGTTAATGGTAGCAGGTCTGCTACGAGTAATCAGAATAAGCAATGGATGAGGAGTCAGAATATTATGCTTTGTGGTTTGGATGTAAGAGGTATTGGGATAATTGCTAGAATTAGAATAGAGATAATTAGAGCTAATATGCCACCTAATGTATTGGAGATGGATCACAAGATTGCATATGCAAATAGGAAGTTTCACTCTGGTCTAATGTGTGGTGGAGTATTAGGAGGATTAGCTGTGTGCAACTGCCTGGATCTCCTAGAAGAATGAGTGACAACAGGATTAGTATAGCTAAGTGCAGAATTAAAAGTCCTAGAATATTCCCAATTGCACAGTAGGGGTGAAATGGAATTTTGTCTGTCAGATGAAATTCCTGATGAATTATTTTATCTTGTTTCATAAAGAAATAGTAGGTGAATAATTATTAGGCCTGAAATAACAAATGGGAGAATGGAGTAGAAGATGGAAGCATCAGGTGAGTGTAGCTGTCAACTGAGACTCCTCCTCAGGTCCATCTGGCTGGACTAGTGCCCATGTAGAGAAAGGCTCAGAGATTTCTGATAACTGTGGCTGCTCAGAAGACTTTGGGCTAGAATCTACTCTTATAAATGCTACAGCTATTACTGTGAATAAGATGATGCCAGTATTTCATGTTTCTAGGGAGGTGTAAGATCCGTAACATAGGCCTCGCCCTACTTGAATGAATAAGCAAATCAAGACAACAGACACTCCACTGGTGTGTGCATGTTGAATGATTCATTTGGAGTTCATGTCTCAGCAGATGTGGGTTACAGAGCAGGAGGTGATTATTATATGTGCTGTATAAGTGTATTTGTAAAATCAAGCAGATTCCTAAAAGGGAGTCAAAATTTCATCATGATGAAATATTTAATGGGGCTGGTAAATCTATGAATGTCACTAATAGTTTTAATTAGTGGGTGGGATTTATAGGTGTTGGTCATTAGTATTCTTATAGTTGAAATATAATTATTTTCATGACATCACTAGTTGATTAAATTCCATGTGAGAATAACATGTTGTATTTATTTTAACTATGTAAGTTTTGTAAGTTTTTCTTCAAGACTGTCATTTACAGTGGTTTAGGGTTGGCTGTAAGTAGAATTGGTTACGGTATTATAATAAATTTTGGTGGGTCTTTTTTTAGGTGGATTAGTTTTTAAGTTTATTTGGGGCGTAATGTTTGTAGTTTTTGGTTACACAACAGCTATGACTACTGAGGAATATCCTGAATTTTGAGTTTCTAATATAACTGGACTATTTCATTTGGGGTTGTTGACAGAGGCTACATTTTACGTATTTTGAAGAATGAGGGGTTGAAGACTGTATTTAAATGTAATGGATTAGGAGATGAGTAATTTATGACACCAGAGACCCTAGCGCTTTTAATGAGGAGGCTATGGGGCTGGGATTTTGCTGGTGGTAGTGACCGGTTCATCACTGCTTACTGGTGTCTTGGCCGCATCAGAGGTTACTCGTGGAAATTAAATAGGAATAGGCTTAGGGCTAATGTAATGAAGAAAGAAAAAATATAATTAGGCCTTTTGGGCCAGAGATTAGTGTTGTGACTTTTGCTTCAAAAATGGGAAATGGATTTTGATAATCTGTTTTCTATTTAAGTTTAATGATAATGATTCTGATTTTTGCCTTGCTGAAAGGCCAGTGTAAAATAGTTTTATGTAACAAGGTTAAGTTTGAGTGCCAGAATAAAACCTGAAACAGTCGTGGCAAGGGCTGTTAATTTTAGATAATAATGCACAGGTCTGTATGCCTGGCCACTGATACAAAGCTCAAAACCAATCACTCCTTTTTTACCCAGCTGGTGATGTCCTAGCATCTATGACATGGCTGTTCCTGTCAATAAGAGTACAAAGTCACATACACTAACTGATAAATTATATATTACATGTTTATTAATGGTACAACTTTTATGTAAAATTTACATTTTATGAAAAAATCAAAAATATTTACAAAATTTTGTAAGATAGATTTGCATTGTTGTAATTACAACTCAAAGTAGTAAATAACAATTCTTAAAAACTCACATTTGTTAGAGTTCTGTGTTTACAAATTCTTGGTTAAAGAGACAGCTACAAAGTTTAATCACTATACATAAGCAAGAACCAGCTTGCTAAACACATTTCCCTTTGAAAATCTACTGGTCTTTTTTTTTTACAACATTAATGGGGTTTTAGATGAAAAACAAAAACCAAAGCAAAAACAAAAACAAAACACCTCCATAAACTCATATGGCTTCAAAATTGTAACCTGCACCCAATACAAATTTATGTACTGACACTTGGTATGAAGACTGTGGTAATTAAGAAAGTGCAGAAGTTTAACCACTTCACTAATTTGTACATTTTTAGGTAACACCTGATTAAAAACAAACATTGTAAGGATATTGATGTCTGAATTCCAGTAATAAAATATTAACTGATCAATAAAAGTCTGACTGCTGTGCAGTTACAGTTAAGATTTCAGTCAGGGACTGTAACTGGCATTTAAAAGAGCACAATGTAAGAGAATTTCTAATTTTGTTCACTATTTAGTCAAGATGACCATTTCAGCAAATTGTCTCCTGTATTACTTTAGTCAAATCTAAATTCAGATTTGGGCTAACACTGAATATATTAAAAAAGCGCATATTGCGTTACATATATTGCTAACAAGTAGATTTTCTGCTGTATTTAGTATAGCAACATGTTACATAAATGTCTAGTAGTAGGAGTTTTACTTTCTGTAAAGCTTAACAGAACAGTTAGTGGTTTTTATATAAATTATCATATATAACACAATTTATCACTTCTATGCAAAATGCAGGATAACTGGTATTTATCCTCATAAATAAAATTTCCATTTGTAGATTATGAAACCTTGTCCAAAATATTTAATTCCTTCAATTAATCAGTATTTGCTATAAAGTTAGGCTTTTTACTATTTAATTATTAGTTTAAGAAATGTTTAACTAACCCATCACTTTGAAAACAAATTGGTAATTTTTCCAAACACTGAAATGAAAACAAATGGCAGACTTCTCTAATGCCAGAACTAATCTTTTCTAAAATATGTTCCTCACAAAATACTACAAAATGCATGCTCACAACACATTCAATAAATAAATTTCCAATGATAAATGATAAAATTTCCAATGATAAAATACTAGTTACCAATTTACCATTATAATTTTTTAGAATTTAAGATTTACATACTTTTGATAAAGTTAAGGTCGAATAGCTGAAGGTTAATTTTCTCCCCCGTAAACGTAAGTCATTAGGTAGGTCTTTCTCTTTCTAGTGGCAACCGTGTTTCACGAAAGAAGTGAGCCAGGGTTCTTACGTATCAATTATCATTTAGTTATTCCGAATTCCCTTCTCAATTCCAGCCACAGTCATTTACAAAAACTGCAGTTATCCTGTAATATGCTTGACCACCACAAAACTCTGAATAGAAGATCCAGGCGGTGAGGAAAAAAGTGAGGCACGTTTATGAACACAAACTGGATAGGCACATTTCTGGTTTTTGTTATTGTTTTAAAAGGCACACATTATGCAATCCATATAAAAATAAATTAAATCTACAGCATTAATTCATCAAAACAATCACAACTTCTATAAAGTTAACTGCAGAAGTAAATTTCTGTCTTTTGCAAGCTTATTTTAAAATACATTGCACTTGAGGATTAAAAAATCATATAAAACACCATTTACAGTTATATGTTTATAAAAATCAAATGATAAATTTTTTGCATACAACTTGGACTCTGGTCTGATTACTTTATGGCACATAACTCAATTTGATTGAGTGTTCTAAATTAACATTATCCAAAATGTAGAATCCATTCAGTATCAAACTTACAAAATTTCAAAGCTATCTCTGACTCTAAAATTTTATGGAAAGCTAAATTACTTTGTGCTTGCTCTCCTGAAAGTTTAGGCTTGATATTACACTATAACCCCGTTCTTCAGAATAGATACTAAAGATAATTTAAAATTTCAGCCTATGAAAACTTTTTACTGACAATCTGAATCAATGTGCTTCCTGAATATTGCAGTTGATCATTTACAGCGTTGAAAACCATTTCAGTGCTATTTCTTTTGATGACTCACTTCGAAGGTGCAACTTAATATTTACAGTCAGCTTTCAAATGTGTCTAAGTTTTAAAGACATAACATAAGTTAGAATAGTGTTTGGAAAGAACAGATAATGCAGGTCTGTATCACTCCCTTGAGCCAACCACTTTGCTAGGTCCATCAACAATCCGCCAGGTATCGTCCTGAAAAACACCAAGTAGAGCTCTGCAATTATAACTTCAAATGAACTCAGAGGACATTTTCACTGTGGTTGAAGATACAGGACCCCAGTTCCCATCTGCTGTTTACATTATAATCAGATCACAGGTGTTCAGCTATAGTGACCATGGATATTCTTTCCCAGGCGCGTCTCTACCTGGCACCTTATTCCAAAGGTCAAAGAAAAAATGCCCATGCCTTTAGAACACAAATGTTTCTCATATACATGAAAAAGCATGAAATCTCCCAACTTACCAGTGGCAAACCGCTTCTTTACTAAGGAAAGTCTATAGCCAGTGCCTACAAGTTCAACATCCACTCCTGAGAGCGTGCTTCCTTCACTGAGAAACTGCACTGCAAGTGTTGTGGGTTTACTGGGCCCTTCTGAAAGATCAAATTTTGCTCTGAGGGACCCAGAACCTATAAGGAAAAAAAAATTTACACAGGGTAACATACATTTCATACAAAAAAAAATCAAATGAGCATGTAAGCTAAAACTATTATCAGTCCTATGCCAAATTCATGATCTGTACAGTAAACGAATCATGATCCTGTTTCTAAATCAGACTTTATTCAGTGAATCTAAATGTTTGTTAAGTAAATAATCTTAATTCATGCTTCTCTTTGATGTGAGACACTCGTACAAGTATCACAGGCATTTACTATGGTGATCCCCAAGTTGTATGTGCATGCGGAAAGTGAGTCAAGGGAGAAGTCGGTGAGGGCAGTCAAAGAGAAGCGCCAGGAGGAATGTGAGTAGGAATAAAATCAAAAGGAAACGAATGCTGTATGTTTTATCATGGGGGTGAAAGAGGGCAAAGGGAAAAGATGGCTAAGACCAGGAAGAGCTCTATCAACATTACTATTTTCTATTTACCTCTCTTTTTAAAAAATTTAACTGATCTAGCTCAGTTCCAGCGTGGCTCAGTTGGCTGGAGCATCATTCCATAAACCAAAAAGTCACAGGATGGATTCCCGGTCAGGACACACACCTAGCCCGTGGGTTCGGCCCCCAGTCAGGGTGCATGCAAAAGGCAGCCAATCGATGCTTCCCTCTCACATTGATGTTTCTCTCCCTCCCTCCCCATCTCTCTAACATCAATAAACACATTCTCAAGTGAGAATAAAAAATTTACTGGTTTAACATGCAAAATAGATATTGCAGAAGTGCTTTCTTTTTGATATAACCATTTATTCAACATACCTCATACTTAACAGCATGGCAGAAACAGTAAACCAAATAATTATGATGAAGATGACAAATACTGTAAAAAGAGTTCTCAGAAGCCATGGGACACAAAAGCATATAAAATGGTGGGGATGGGGGGGGTGACCGTGCGTATTTCAGGCAGAAGGAGCTACAGTTACAGAGATGGGAGACTGGGGAGAACATGATGCATTTCAAGGGAACTGCCTCTATACCTGAAGGGCTGGAGAATAGGAGCAGAGTGGCAGCAGGTGAGATGAGAATGGTAGCAAGGAACAAGCTCTACATCTCTTTACATGCCAAGATAAGAAATTACCATATGGAGACACCAAAGGTAAGGAAGATAAAAATATTTCAGATTAATATTTCTGAAGAGAGGAGAGGCGCAAGATGCATGGCATGGCAACCAATGTAAGTCAATGAAATAGTCTAGGGCTCTAGGTGACAGAAATAGGGGATATGAACTAGGCTATGGAAAAAAAGGAATGCATTTGATGTATATTTAGGCTCTGGAATCAAGAGGTGAGAAAGAAGGAGTTTACTAGGTTACTAGATATTCTAGTTGGGGAAAGTGAACAGAACTGCTACGTAGCAAGTGTGACATTCTATGAGTCCTTGCACATAAATTAAACATTATAGAGAAAACCTGGAAGAAGCTATCTTAGCACTGATCCACCCAATAGTACCATGTCAGTAGGGGAGAGGAATTGCTGCCTAATTCTTAACCACTAAGAGGGCTGTCTAAGCCCTCTTTAAACTTGTACAATTCTTTTTAAAAATATTTCATCAATTAAAAAATTTTTAAATATTATTTATTTATTCTTTATTTATCTATCTATTTATTTATTTATTTTTAGAGAGGGAAGGGAAGGAGAAAGACAGGGAGAGAAACATCAACGTGTGGTTACCCCTCACATGCCCCCAACTGGGGACCTGGCTCACAACCCAGGAATGTGCCTGGGAATCAAACTGGCAAGGCTTTGGTTCAAAGGCCTGCGCTCAATTCACTGAGCCACACCAGCCAGGTCTAAACTTGTATAATTCTTTATTTGCAATTCAATTCTGTGAAAGTTCCACCACAGCCCAAGAGCAGCCACCTTGGCAATCCTTAAACTTCAGAATTACTTCCTGTTCCTCTTCTGGGCATAAAGCCAGAATAGAAATAAATTTCTATTTTACAGTACTCTAATTTGGGAATTTCTTTTTAAACGCTGACCAACCAAATCAGAACCACATTTATACGACTTTTTCATTGCCTCACATAGACACCCTGATATCTGAATAGCAGAGGGGAACTATTAACATATCTGGTTAGAAATTCTGTATTTTATTTTTTAGAGAACAAATTCCCTTTTTGGTAAGTGATCACCATAGTACAGTTCCATATAATGGGAAAATATTATACATACTTTTATCCCTTGCTAACTGGTTTTAAGCCCTCAATTCAACTAGGATTTCTGGTCTACATTCAGTTTCAGCTTTAAGTTTCAGTTTCGTCCCCCCAAAAGCCATACACGTAGAGTAAAAGTCGGTCCCACTGACTACTTGAAAACAGATATCCTTTAAGTATCAAACAGCAACAAAGGAACTGCAGATTAGCTTGATTTCACAGCATGTGGTTCTCTAGTAAACATTGTATTTGACATGGCAGTCATAAATGAACAGGCAATATAGGTATGTTCCTGGTCCTTTATGCAGAAATATATATGAAAAAGACTACTAGCAATGTTTTTATGTTTTGATCACATTATGCTTAAAATATTCAAAACAGAAAAAAACTCAGAAAAACCAACTCAATAGGAAAAGCTATTGGAAATGAATTAGGTATTTAAAAGACGGCAGGGTAGTCCTGGCCAGTGTGGCTCAGTTGGTTGGAGCATTGTCCCGCAACCAAAAGGTTGCAGGTTTGATCCCAGTCCAGGCATGCCAGGGTGCATATAGGAGGCAACCAACTGATACTTCTCTCTCCCGCATCATTATTTCTCTCTCTCCCTTCCTCTCTCTGCAAAAAGCAATAAAAAAAAAGTCCTTGGGTGAGGATTAAAAAAAAAAACAGGGGAGAGTAATTCTCCTTTAAGAGAAAATGCTAAGAATTAATGCTAAAGATTTGACTGTCCTGGGAATTATATTCTGAATTGAGTTAGGGGAGATACTAGGAGTGATGAGCCAGCAACGACTTTTCCTTTGCTTTGAGAACACAGATGCAGACTTGATGAGAGGAGGCAATTAACTTTCATCTCCTTAAAAAAATTATAGAATTGAAGGCCATTTATGGTTAGTTTTAATAAAAGGAAATTATCAGGAAAGGCTTTCTTAGGAAAATGAAGTAGAAAGAAGGTATTTTAAAAAATGTATTGGGTGACATTGGTTAGTAACACTGAATCTGAAGTATACAATTCTGTAAAACATCATCTGTACACTGCACTGTGTGCTTATCACCCAGTCTAGTCTCCTCCTGTCACCATATATTTGACCCCCTTTATCCTCTTCGTCCTGCTTCCACCTCTGGTAACCATCATACTAATTGTCTGTGTCTGTGAGTTTGTTTTGTTTGTTCACTTGTCACACTTTGTTTTATATCTCACATGAGTGAAATCATATGGTTCTTGTCCTTTTCTGACTTATTTTCACTGAGCATGATACTCTTAAGATCCATCTACGTTGTCCCAAATGGCAGTGTTTCATCCTTTTTTATGGTTGAGTAGTATTCTGTTGTTTGTATGTATGTATGTACCACATCTTTTTAAAACAAATCCAATCATCCACTGAAGGACACTCAGGCTGCTTCCGTATCTTCGTTACCTTGAATGATGCGGCAGTGAATATATGGGCACACATGTGTATCTTTACAAATGTTTTCAAACTTTTGGGGTACATACCCAGAAAAAGGCTTGCTGGGTCATATGGCAGCTCTATTAAGTTTTTGAGGAACCTCCACACTGTTCTCCACAGTGGCTGTACCAGTCCGCCTTCCCACCGGCAGTGTGTGAGCGTTCCATTTCCTCCGCATCCTCTCCAACGCTCGCTGTTTCTTGGCTGGTTGGTATTGGCCTCTAACAGGTGTGCAGTGGTATTTCACTGTGCTCGTGATTTGAATTTCCCTTAAAGCTAGTGAAACTGAACATCTTCTCATTTATCTGTTGGACATTTGCATGTTTTCTTGGAAGTGTCTGTTCAGCTCCTCTGTTCATTTTTTAATTGGAATGATTGGGTTTTAGTTGATGAGTTATTTGAATACTTTATGTATATTGGATATCAGCCTCTTAACAAAGGTATTGTTTGCAAATATCTTCTCCCACTCAGTTGGCTGCCTTTTTGTTTTGTTGATTTCTTCTGAAGTGTAAAAACTTTAGTTTCATGTCCCATTCATTTATTTTGTCTTACGTCACAAGGGGGCTTTTTAAAGTCTGAAAGCTTCTACATGATTTCTGGGAGGCCAGGAGGACTCCCTTATCGGTGAGCAAAAGAGTGTGTTAAATCACTTTCAATGATTAAGTTATTAAGTTACCTAGCTGGAATTATGTTCTGCTTCTTTAAATTTACTTTATTAGGCATTTTCTCTTAATGTTAGCATGTGAACATAAGAAACTTTTACTTAATATTTATAAAGTTACAGCAAAACAAATTCTTTTTCTTATAGAGAAAGCATACTCAATATAGAGGGGGGAAACTGCATTCTGAATCTCAACTGGTCCACTCTTTTTTAAGGTATTAACTTCCACCTAGTGGTCAATTCTAGAAGTGAAGGCACGAAATTCCAGGAGAAAACTTTCCATAGACATGCCTTCAAAGGTCCATTTTCAGTGAACTCACATTTTAAAAACCAGCAAGCATACACTTACCTCCATTTTCGGATTTTTCTGAAATGCCAGACAGTTTCCAGAAGGCCCTCATCTGTTCTGCATTCCTGTAACACAAATTCTCAGATTAAATGGCTAGTATTATATACCTTATATATGGACGGCCCTCAATAAATAAATGCATTTTAAATATTTCACTAGAACTATAGTACTAAATTTACTTTCAGTAGTATCACCTGGTGATTATAAAATACAGTGTTATATCTTTCTCAAATAATGGAATTTGTACCAATTTATGTAATTCTTCTCACTTCTCTCAGAGAAAGGAAAATTAAATGTGTAGGTGGCTCAATTCCTTTATTACTCAAGAAAAACACACTTTCATTAAATGGTGAAGTAAATATTAAGACTGCTTAGAGTCCATACTAATAATAGAGAGGACAAGAGAGGTAGCTAAGAAATGAAAGTAACTAATACTACTTAACACTAATCAGATAGGTATTCCTATACATATGCCAGATGTTATATTAAACCCTTAAAATAATTATTATAATCTTTATTTTTTAAAATAAAAACAAAGACATTTAAAGAGGCTAAGTAATTTGCCTAAGGGTAAAGTTGTGTTGAAGCATTCAAGTCTGATGATAGCAAAATTAATTTATTTTGCATTGAGGCTAATGCGGCTTGTCTAGTAAAATGAACATGTTTTTTACAGCATGGTTTCTATGAGAAAATGCACTAAGACTTTTCAAACGTACACAACTTTCATAACTGAGGCTCTAAAAGTTGAAGGTTAACACAAATTCAGTAGGAATTCAGAAATCTGCTTAATTTACCATATTGCAGGGGGAAGGGACTGCATATTTGTGACTCCACCATCCACTGGTACCACCACTTGTATGTTAGAAAGCACACTTGGTGCCACCATAGCCTCTGGGTTGTACTTATAATCCACTCGAAGATCTGTGGTGCTAGCACTACATTTCCAGTATGTTGCAAGATTTAGAGGGGTGGACTGAATACCATTTGATGATACCTTGAAAGAGAAAATAAACAATTATTTGACCTGAAAAGTAAAGAAGTTATGTTCGTGACATGCACACTTGAACACAGGAGTTCACAGAATCAAAAATAAATGAGGGAGCTGTCTGTTGCTAGGGTAAAACAGGAAGTAGTAGGAACCACTCCCAAAGTTTGGACCTGGAATTACCTACATCAAAATTTTCCTGGTGTTTGTTTAAAAATGCACATTCTCCTGGCTCTAAATGCAGAAAGTTTGATTCAACAACTTAGGCACAGAGGCCAGAAATCAGCTATGTTATCAAGTGATTCCTATTTATGCATGTAATGTCTGAAAACCTTTCAACATAGAATTCTAAGATTTTTTATGAATTATGAGAATTTAGATTTAGCCCTGGCTGGCTAGCTCAGTTGGTTAGAGCGTCATCCCGGTAAGCCAAGGCTGTGGGTTTGATCCCTGGTGAGGGCACATATGAGAATCAACCAGTGAATACATAAATATAAATAAGTACAACAACAAAATCAATGTTTCTCTCTCTCTCTAAAATTAGGATTTAGATTTAAAACAGAAAAAAATGGGTGAGCTATCATGAAGTTCTACAGGCCTGGAATTAGAATACTTGCAACTTCAAATGTCTGATTTTAATCGCATGGCCCATAGTAAATGTTACAATTTTAATTCTTCAGTTCCTTGCTCAAATGATTCCTTTTCAATGATCACCCTGTCTGAATTTACATGAAAAATGCAACTTTTTATACTTTACTTTACACACCTTTCCCATACCACTTATTTTCTAACACATAATACTATTTACTTCTTATCTTACTATCTCCCCATCCAACTGCCAGCAATTAGCAAGCACTGAATTACAAATGTTCGTTGCATGAGTGATAAATGAATACTTGGAATAAACTTTAAGCCAACTTAAGTGGCAGCAGCACTTTTTTACTCCTTAAGTATTTCCTAGAAACAGAAGCCATTTTAGATGAGATCGGGTACGTTCAGGGTGGTATGGCCATAGTTGAAACATAAGCCATTTTAACAAAATTACCCTACTAAAAATTCAAATACAGAAGTATATGCAATAGGAAATTTATCCCTTGGCATTCTTACTCCTCACTGTTAGCATAATAGTACATATCCTTCCAGATTTTTTAGGCATATGCAAACCTGAAGTTGTCTCATTCTTTTTAATGGTTGTAATTCATTTAACCCATCTTTCCTTAGGTGGTTTCCAAGCAAGGCCGCAGTGAATATTCTTTGTAACTTATCTCCCCAACATTTCCCCCCTAAAAAACAGATTCCTGGAAGTGGAGCTGTTGAATTAAAGGTTACATTTTTCAACCCCGTCTGGTGTGGCTCAGTGGATTGAGCCTGCGAACCAAAGGGTCACCAGTTCAATTACCAGTCAGGGCACATGCCTGGGATTCAGGCCAGATCCCCAGTTGGGGGTGCACGAGAGGCAACCGCACACTGATGTTTCTCTTCCTGTCTTTCTCTTTCTCCCTTCCCCTCTAAAAATAAATAAAACCTTTTAAAAAGTTACATTTTTCAACAATCTAACAGAATTGCCTTCTAAGATATTCTATTAATTTGTACTCCTATTATCAAATGGTCACAATTCTTTTATTTTTTTTAAAGCCAGTCAAACTGAGTAGTGGGGGGGTTGTATTCCAAATAATAATAATAATAATAATGAATTATTATTTTCAATAATTCAGTGATGAATTATTGAAAAATTCATCACTTCCCCACTGCCTTGAAATGTTACTCTGTCATATAAACAATTTTCCATTTATTCTTAAATCTGTTTCTAGATATTCTATTTTTCCCCCATTCACCTGGCCATGTACTTTTGTGCCAGTTGCAAACTATTTTAAATAATGTCACCTTATAATAATTTTCCCATTAAAACTAAAACATTGCTCCACCATTTAAAACATCTCTTAACTTATTCTAAACTTTATTCTTCCAGAGAACTTAAAAATGACTGTTAGGTCTCCAAACACAAATACGTAAACACTTGTACTGGGTTTCTGATCAGTATTAAGTTTATAAATTAATTTAGAAATAGCTAAACGTTTTTACACAACTTGAATCTTCCTGTGAATGAATAAAGTATTCTTTCCTAACTATATTCAAGTCAGTAAAGACAAAAACATTGACCGGCTGCCTTTTTGAACCTGCTGGGACCGGGAATCGTAGGCACCTGGACTGAGTATCAAACCCGCTACCTTTCAGTTGTGGGACAACACTCTAACCAAGTCACACTGGTCAGGGTGAAAGCTATTAATTTTTGTATTAATTTCATTAAAAAGATATTTAATTATTTTTAGAGAGGGAAAGGAGGGAGAAAGAGAGGGAGAGAAACATAGATTGGTTGCTTCTCATGTGCCCCAACCAAGGACTGGGCCCACAACCCAGACATGTACCCTGACTAGGAACTGAACCTGTAACTTCTCACTGTGCAGGACGACGCTTCGGAGCCATGCCATTCAGGGCTGTATTAATTTTTAAACTGACCACTTCACTAAATTCTTCTATATCAAGTAGTTTTCCAGTTGATTTTCTTGAGTTTTCCAGAAATATAATACAATTATTAATTATAGGTATTATTATTTTATTCTCTTGTCTAACTGAGCTAACACATGCGGAAAATCTTATATGCTAACAGAAATAATGGTTGTCTTTGCCATTCCTGACTCTGATTGCTTCAGGTGTTGTAAGACTGATGCTGCTGGTCTTTTCAGGTTAAGGACGCATGCATGTATTTATACTTACTCAATATTTTAATACAAAATAGATGGTTGATTTGATCAAACTGGTAAAATCTCCATAGGCTTATTAATAGATTTTCTGATTTTGAAATATCCTTGGCATTCCTGAAATGAACCTCACTTGGCCATGACATACTATTCATCCAATGATGTGTAATATTCTCTTTATTAGTATTTTAAATTTAGGATTTCTTCAAAGATAGGACACTTACCTGATACTTTAATACATCTACGTTATAATAAGAAGCAGTTGGATTTTGCTCTGATAGTTTCTTGAGGTAGACAGTAACAGCTTGCATGTTCATCCAAAAATCTTTTGTGTTCGAGTCACACTGTGATGGGTCACTGCATGTGTAAGAAATGGGTTTGTTACTTTATTTGACTTATCTTTACCCTTTGCCTCTGTGCAATAATTTGGTGATCTGGGAAAAACTAGTAGAAAGGAACCAAAAGGTGGGATGAGGGAAGCCTAAAGTTAGGGGATAAAGAATAAATCGTAGAAGTTTGCCTGAGAGATGAGCAGATGGGCAGTAGAGAAAAATTTAACGATGTGGTAATTACTTCTACCACCAAACACAAAACAAAGACAGCAGAAGGCTGTTCAATCAAAAAAATAATTTTGGTATTGTTTTCAAATTAAATGATTAGTGTTCAAAAAGAAAAAAAAATTCTTCAAGAGAAGTTTCACCTTCAAAAGAAAAGTACACAAACCTGAACACAAGCTGTGCATTTGGAAGAATTTGCTCTAGTCTGCTGATATTTTTCACCCTGAAGCACAGCACAGCTGGAGACGGATTGCTAGTGAAGACTTTAATAATTCCACTTGGAAATGATATTGTCATGTCACCAGTGATCTTCACAATACACCTGAAAATTGGGGATTTTGACATTTTTAAACAGTTTAAGTAAGATGCTTTCATTTCCATTTAAAGCATATTTGATTTAGAAAGGACTTTATGTAATTATGAATAAAACTTTTTTCAGTTTAATTGTTTAAAAAATATTCCTATGAAATGGCATACTAAACACAAACACAGGAACACTGGTGACATCTCCCAACTTGTTGACCGAAACCACCCCAGCTGTCCCCTAGGTAACCCTGACCCCTAAACTCCACAGAGCACTGGGCCTCGGGGTGGCATTAGTGGTACATGTACTCCTTGGTCCTCATTGCCTGTCCCAACTCTGTATTCCCTCTTTCTTCCTAAAAACCACCAGCTTCTTTTTAAACTCATACCACCGAGCTAACTATACTTGCTAGCCCATCCCTTTCAAGTCATCTTCAACACTCTCTTTTATTTTCTGAACATTGTAGCTCCTGGCCCATTGTTAAGAGTAGTGGTACAGAAACAGACCATCATAATTTGTTAGTGATTTCAATATCCACTCAGTTAATCCTTTCAATATTTTGGTCCCTTTGTTTGTTAGCACCTCACCCTAATGACCCTACCTTCCAGCCTGCCTCAGCTACGCTGCAGCCACTCCGTAATCTCAATCACCACTTACCTCATTACCACTTCCTTTTCTTCCAACTCCTTCAGTCTAGTACTGCATTTCCAACACTTCTCCAACCTTGTTAAAACCTCCACAATTTGGTATGCCTACCACCTTTTTCACTGATCTTCACTCATTCCTTCCTACCTTGGAATTTCCTGGTCCACTATTACACACACTCATGTGCATAGGCCTTCCCTCACTCCTCTTCCACTGGATTACATTTGCTTGGCAAAACAGTCTTGGCTAAATTTAGCTCTTCATCTATAGAGCTGAACATGACTACAGAAAAACATAATCATACAGCCAAATCATACTTCCCTCTAACCTACTAATGCAGGTTAGTAGCAATGTTCCCTTCCCCTACTAACAGCCACTTTACTTTACATTTTACTGAAGAAATAAAACCAGAGAAGAACCTTCCCATACTGTCACTACAGAACTCCTAATCCAACTGACTCTGTATCTGTATGTTTTGCTTTCCCTCCTGTTTCAACTGATGATCAATCTATGCACCAAAGGACAATCTATCACTTCTGCACTGAAATACCTCTCCTCCTCTTACATACCAAAGGACTTCACTCTTGCAATTGTCCCCAATCTTTCCTGAAGGTTCAATTTTTCCCATAAATACTGGATCTTTCCCATTAGCATACAGTCATGCTAAAATGCATATAATCTTTAAAAAAAAACACTAAAACCAATAAAAACCTCCTCTGATTCTATCATCTCTAATACTACCCCATTTTTCTGCTTCCACTAAGAGCAAAACATCCTGAAAGACCTGTCTACATTTGCTCTCTCCAAATATAGTTGCCTATTATTTGCATCATGTCCTGCTCCTGAACTTCCTCTGAACAGGATGTCATCTCCACCACTCTACTAAAATTGCTCTTGTGAAGGTCAACAATGACCTCCAAACTGTCAATGGTCCATGTTTCTTGACCTGTTAGTGGCATCAGATATAGCTTCACGAACCTTCTTTCATGAAAGGGTTTATTCACTTTGTTTCTGGGACACTGGTCTACTGGTTCTCTCCTCACCTCTCTTGTTGCATGCTATCTCAAACACCTTTGCTGGATCATTCTCATCTTCCTGTTGTCTTAACACTGGAGGAAACTGGGACTTAGTTCTCATCAGATAGCTTCTCTACTCTCTAAGGCTCCCAGCTTTCAGTATTATACACAGACTAATGACAACCACTGTATTTTTTGGTCTATAAGACACACGTAGGTTTCAGAGTAGAAAAAAAAAAATAGGAGGCTCCTGCCTCCTGTGACCCTGCACCACTGCTGTGTCCCCGGCCCCACAGCAAGCTAGGTAAGCTACAGTCGGGCTGTAAGAGGCACCCTCATTTTCCTCCCAAATTTGGGAGTATGTGTCTTATAGTCCAAAAAATATGGCAGATATTTTATTTCTAAACTGAATCTATGCCCTGAACTCCAGAATCATGCATTCAATGATCAATCAGTATCTCCGCTGAGTTGTCTTAGTAAGCACTTCAAACTTAGCAGTCTACCCATTCACTAAATCTTTACAACTCTATTTTCAAAACATATTCAGAATCTTATTACCATTTACCATCTCATCTGCTAATACCCACAGAGAAGCCACCATCGTGTCTGACCTAGAGTTCTGTGGTTAACTCTCTGCATCTAGCTTAGCTCCTTCCAGAGTTTATTCTCTATACAGCAGCCACAGTGCCACTTCAAAACCACAAGTAACCTCATCACTCCTCTGCTCAAAAGCCTCCACTGGCTTTCCACCTCACTCAAAAAATAAACCCAAACTCCTTATGGTCCATGATGCCCAACCTGAATTAGTCCCTCTATGGGACTCACTTTGACTACTCTCCTCCTTGCTTTCGTCCACTCAGTAGCATGGTTCTCCTTGCTATTTCTTAAATACGCCAAGCATGCTTCTACCTCAGTCCCTTATACTCAATGGAATGCTCTCCTCTCAGCTGTATGACTTACTCCTCAATGTCTTTCAAACATCTGTTTAAAAAGGTTTCTTTAATCATTCTATCTAGAACAGTAGCCCTCCATTGTAATTCTCCATCTCCTTACCCTGGTTTATTTTCCTTCATAGCATATATCAATACCCCCAACTTTTCATTATTCATTCCATGTACATTCAGTCATCAAATATTTGAGCGCTTACTATGTGTGAGACTGTTTTAAGTGCTGAGGATACTTTAGTAAACAAAGTTCTTCTCTCCTGAGCTCACATTACCGTGAGAGAAAACTAATAATCCAGGAAACTTTCTCTCATGATAATGTAAACTTACAACAGTCTTACACATAGTAGGCGCTCAAATATTTGAAGAATGAATGTAGATTGAGTGAATAATGTTGCATGAAAAGTAGGGGTTAAATCAATCCTGCAAGACTTTCAGCTATTAAACATGCATTCTAGGTCTCTCTTGCAAATGTCAGATTTTTACAAAACATATACATTAGGTCAAGCTTCAGAGTTCTATCCCCACCTAAAACATCTTCCTGCTTTACAGATGTGTCATATGGATCATAAAGCCTGGGCAAGAATATAAATAAAATGGGGTGAAAATCCAGTTTATTTATATCAGTTTATTATGTACTGGTGATTACTGTGATTTTTTTTTAATTTGAAAGACAATCCTGAATTGACTATATCTGATAGCAAAAAGCAGGTAAATTCTAACCTATTCAGAATCAAACATAATTCTTAAAATTTACCACCAAGCCTCTCCACCCCTCCAACACATACACATATTTGTATTTTTAAAAACTAACTTGGTAGGATCTGCTCCTTTAAAGTAGGCATTAACAGATTCTGTAAGGGCGACTGCCACAGGTAAGGTGTCCTGATTTCCAAGGCTGACAGGGCTGGGACCTCGTGACACACCTAGAGTACATACAATTCATTTGTTAAATCCTACTGAAAAACATGTATTAAATATCAAGACAGGTATAGTCACAATGTTAGTTTGCCACAAATAACTCCGTTACTGATTTCAATGATGCCCCCCAAGTAAAATCTGGAGCCTAAAATAATACAAAGGACCAAAAAAATCAGAAAAATGCCACAATGACTTTTTCTTTTCAATGTAATGACACAAAAGGGTTGGGTTAAGGAATGTCAAGGAAAAAGCCCTTCACCTGAGAAGCTAAAATTATTAAACTATGGCGTCAAAATCAGATACTAAATTCTTTCAAGTTCTACCAATTGCAAGCATCAGGGCATTGAACTGGATTTTTCTATTTGTCATACATAATTCTCTTTTAACCTCTTCTTTCTCTAATACCTGTATTATAATCCCATATTATCTTGTCTTGATAAATGTAACTACTAACATTATTTTTTATAACACTGCTTATATAAAGTTCACTCAGATACCTTTAAAGTAAAGTCATAATAAAGCATAGTCTTCTAAAAGCATAATAAAATGCAAACAAAGTTTATGCATGTGTTCAAGTTTTTTTGTTAATGTAAAGTAAGTATCTGGTTTATCTCATAAAAGAAAAATCCCTCAAAATTGTTTGCTGCCTTTCCTTTTTTCCACAAATATCCCTTTCCCATTTATGCCTTCATTTAATATATAATGTGATGAAATTTATAAAAATAAGTCAATAAAAGTTATAATTATTCATTCTTATTTAAAAAATGAGTAACCTAGGTCAACATACAGCTCTGAAATTTGAATGTATGCTTTTGTTTATATAAACATGCACAATGTTCATGGCCATCAGATATTTTTATTTCAGAGGTGATTACCTATAGTGACAGACTGAGTTACTTCTGTTATACTTAGAGATTAATTCTGACACAACTCAGTACTGGCTTTCTCTGTCTCACAACTAAACCTGAGATCCTACAAACAGAAAGAAAGACCTTTTGTTAGTTTTGGAGACCAGGAAGATTTTGTGGTATTTGACAATTTGAAGGAATTTTGACTTAGAAAGTTCTTTACAGTTAGAAAAATAGCTCAGTAATTACAAATACATGGGAACAAGAACTGCTACTTCTACACCACTGGGAAAAGTAATCCCACAACCAAACAAGACAACTTAAAATTTTAGGTGGAAATTAAAAACCCAGTAAATTTTAGGTGAAAATTAAAAACCCAATAATACAAAATTTCATTCACAAAATCATAATAGTTATTTACTAGCCACTAGTATGTGCCAGACACTTTGCTAAGGAGGCGTGAAGAAAAAGGTGCCTTAACTGACAATATTCTGCTTCTTTTATAATCACTTTTTTTCTCATTCCAATAGCTTCTGAGTTAATGCTTATTGGTATTTCTCAATGTTGAGAGAAGAGCAGAGAGATGGAATATAATGCAAAAATATTGTGTTTTTATAGTTGGGGATCTGATGCTTTATTCTATATAGCAACTGTACATAATTAGTACAAAATTGAGACAGTTAAACCTTAGAGTTAATCTTGATTTCTGAGACACCACACATTGCTGGAAAAGGAAAATTTAGATAACAAAGTATTTTAGATACACTTTAGGATCATTAGTTAACACATATATTTGCTTTTGATAAATACCTTGTGAAGTCTCACAGTGCTTTTCAATTTCAGAGAGTGTCCCAATCAAATTATCATCTTCTATCATATTTAAATAAAACAAAATATTGCAGGAAAAAATACTTTCAAGAAACAACAGAGTCAAAAATTTACATGTAAACAAAGAGCTGAATAAGCATCACAGCAAAGAAAAAGAATCTTTTAGGTAGATTTAAAGAACCTTCGTTGTACAAAATCCACACATATCCCGCCTTCATCATCAGAGGCACCGATTTGTGGTTCTATTGCCCACAGTGACTCAAACTAAAAACTTATGTACCAACTTAATCAAAATTAAAGTTTCCATCACAAACAGAAAACCTTCTGAATAATCTAGAGAAAATGAAAAAGGACTAAAGCTAATTTTTGTTTAGACCACCTGGCCTGATTTCTAATAGGACCCATCTATGTATTTTATGACTAAAATGTAAATTCTGCAGGAAAAAAATGAACAAAAACCACTATACAAAAAAATATGAATAAATCGCTGTTACAGAAAACAAAAAGACAAATTTATTAGATATATTGTGTTTACATAAACTTAAAAGATGGGGAAAATGTTATGCTCACAAAGGTATATAAAATAAGATGGTAACATCGTGTTTGAACATTTAGAAATAGTCATTTTTTAATCTCATTTTAGCCTATACTACTTAATCCATTTTTACAAAGGCCACAGACACAAGATACATTTCCTCTCTGTGAGTTCTGACAAATCAAGTTAGATAATAATTAAATCAACTTACTTTGGCTGTGATTCTCAAATTTAGCATGCATCAGAATTACTTGGAAGGCCTGTTCAAGGACTGCTGGCCCTACTCCCAGTGTTTCTGATTTAAAAGGTTCTATTTCTAGTAGGTTTCCAGGTGATGCAGACAGATGCTGCAGGCCCAAGGACCACACTTGGAGCACTACTGAATTATGTTCAGTTAGTACACATCAGTGATGTGCATTATCAAGGATAAATCCATCACTACTTAGAAGCAGAGGCAATGGGGACGGTCAAAATTTTGGTAAGTTGTTGCTCTCAAAACACAGCTGCTTTGTTTAAGTGGCTTTTTGCTTTATCATACTAACAGTGGGTGAGAAAGGTACTGTAATAAGAATTTACAGGAAAAACTGGATAAAGGTGATGATGGAAAAATCTCTTGAGCAAAATTTAGATGTAATACTGAAGCTGTTCAGTGAGGTTTAGGTTTATATAGCTATGCCCTAATATCTTTTAAATTTTTGTGATTTAAATTCTTGTAGAAAAAAATAATTCACTACAAGCATAAAACCCCCTTTTCCATTGAATCAATTGTTTTTCAAATATGAACTTTCTTAAGAATGCAAGTATCAGTGCACAGCAGAAAGGGCTGCATTATATTTTGCCTTCAACTACAGTATTTACATTGGTCAGTTCATTAATTTGATGCATTCTCTTTTTTTTTTCAACTACAGTTTATATTCAATATTATTTTTATTAGTTTTGGGTAAATTTGATGTATTCTTAACAGTGCTAAACATGGTTAAAATTCTACTTAGATAATATGAATTGAATAAGAAAAGGAAAATGTGCCTACTTTGATAATGCCAGATGTTTGCGGAAACCCAAATTTCTAATGTTAAATTCATCACTAGCCCATTAAACAAACAACAACAAAAACAAAAAATAAACCCCAGTCTGATCGTGCTTTGGATGCTAACTTGCACATGTAATTGACAATAATTCCTTACCTACTGTTGGAGTATTGGCAGCACTTAATGAAGCAGATGATGAGATAGAGGAAGAACTTTCTGCCCGAGCTAAAGGAGCAGCAGGAGGTGGGCTGGTGTTGGAAGTTACAGGTGGGCTGAATGGCCTGGGCTTAAAAACAAAAAGTTATTTATCAAAATGGTAAAACAATTCCTCCTTTATCAGAAAAAGGTTACTAGGTATCAAATAAGTTTTACTTTAATATACTAAACCAAATTTATTTATGTGAGTTTCTTATACCTCAAAATTAGAGATGCCACAGGTCAAATAATTTTTGAGAAAATATGAAAAGTTTAAGATAATGCTCTCAAGAAAATCTTTGTACATAAATAATTTCCTGTGTATCAAAAAGTATGCTTAGGATAGATTCTCAAAAGTTAAATGATTAATTTAAGTAGTATGAAGGCTTTCCACACTTACTGCCAAACTGCTTCCCAAAAGGGTTATTGACTTTACTGCTTAAAAACACAAGAAAATATTTCTTTGCCAGCAATGAATGGGGAAAAAATAATTTTAACTTTTAGCCAATTTGATAGATAAAAATAACATAGGCATTTTCCCTTGTATAAGTTGTGTGTATTAGCTTTGTGTGATTTAGTTTTGGGAGAACATAATATTACCTGAACTTTTACTAACCCTTTACTTTATTTGCTACAAATATTTTCTCCCTAAATACTGCTTGCCTTTTACTTTTGGTGTTTACAAATTTCCACATTTTCATAAGAAAATTTTAATTTTACTGTCTTCCCACTTTTCTAATTTAACATAAAAACAAATATAAATTCTTTCCTTCCAAATTCCTAATTGTTCCAATAATACATTAACAATACTTCTTGAGGTATTTCACTTTTTAAAATAAGGCATATTTGGCTTACTTAAAAATAACCTTTTCCTGTTTATAAAAGAATTAAATAAATACAGTATTTACTTAGTGCCTACTATGTACTGGGCTATGGGTTAAATACTAGATCCAAAGCAGTGGATGAAATATTATTCCTGTCCTCAGTTGAGGGACTTGAAAAACAAAAGGCAAAACAAACCCTATAAACATTCACATGCTAAAATTAGTCAATTCTTCACTGTATAAATATAAATTTACAGATGTAAACTTATTAAAATTAGAAAGTACTGCCCAAAGTGTTTTATAATTGGTAAACTCCCAACCCCACTTAACTATTTTTAAACTTAGTTCCAAAAAATGGCTTTTTGATGACTCATTATAAGCAATAGGTTGAAAAACTACAGCAAGGTTTAAAAATGCAATTATGTATGTGAACAGATCAATTGGGGTAGTGCAAGATATGAGGCCAAATAAACAGTAAATTCAACAGTTGATTTGAAAGTAACAAGTTTAGAAAAAGTCTTGAAATCAACTACTGTGGGGGACATTTATCCTGTGACAACATGGCCTCATGACCAATGTAATGTGGCTGCATTTTTACAACCTACAATTTAGAATGTGCCTTTTATAATTTTTTAGGAAAAGGCAACAACAGCTTTTTTCTCAAGTGTTTTTTTCTTATTTTAGAACATCACTGTCTAGTACTGCAGCCACTAGCACTATGAAATGTGGCAAGTCCAAATTTGAGATGAGCTGTAACTACAAAATACAGTGACTTTTGAAGACTTAGCACACACACATGAAAATAATGTAAACAGTCAATAGTCTTCATAGTTATGTTAAATTGATATTTGTATATATGAAGTAAATATTTATCATTTTTACTTATTTATGTGGCTATGAGAGCATTTAAAATTATGTATGTCACCTGCATTTTATTTCTGTTGCACAGTGCTGCTTCAAAACAGTGTTTCTCAAACATTAGTATGCATCAGCATCACCTGGAGGGCTTGTTAAACCACAACTGCTGGACCACCCCCCACTCCCCAGACCTTCTCATTTGTGTCTGGGGTGAAGCCAGAGAAAGTGAATTTCTACCAAGTTCCCAAGAGAAGTTAATATTGCCGGTCTTGGAACCACACTTTGAAGACCACTGCTCTAGATCATGGAGAAGTTCTCTGTAGGGGTGTGGAGAAGGTGTGGTTATAGACCTCCGATGAAAGTGCATATAAAAGCATGCAAGGAAAAGGGCACTCCAACGTGCAGCTGGAGAGAATTCAAATCAGCATAACCTTTCTGGTGGGCAATAATAGAGTAATAATCATCAAGAACCTTAAAAATGTGCATACCATTTAGTTCATGGATTTCACACTTTTAAAATTTTACTAAGGAAATAATGTCTGCAAAAACACAAACATAAGGATATTCATTAAAACACTTTATAATGGAAGCCTGGAAATAAACTAAATGTCAAATAAATGTCTAAAAATGTTTGTAAATTTAATGCTGGCAACAGAGCAGAAGATAGAGCATTTCTACTAAGCAGCCAATTCCACTGGTACTCCCTGAAGCAAGCCCGCAGAGTGTGGTCTCTAGAAGGCTCTCAAGGCCTGGGCAGAAAGTGAAGGGTGAGAAGAAGGGTTCAACTATAAAAGTCCCCCTTATTTAACAGACTTAACAACATAAAATTATTTGACAAAGAATTCTACCAATTTAAAGAAGTTTGAAAACTATGAAATAATTCATGATACAGAAAGACACTGCCAAAATACTTTCAAGTGAAGAACAAATAAAAAATAAGACAAGATCTTTTATTTAAAAAATATACACATACCATTCACAGTAACTAACTTTTTGAGCAAGTATTTTCACTTGACAATGGGGAAAAAAGTAGATATACAATCTGAGTACGCAAAACAGAGTTTATCACTGTATTATTTGTTACTGTATTATTTACTACATGAACAACTGTAAACCTGCTTTACTCTGCCCTGAACTTATTTAAGTATCACAACAACCTATTATCATTATACCCATAAGGAAACAGATTCCAAATAAAAAACCTACCTAATGTTGCTCAGGTAATTATTGGCTAGTGAACTTGTGCTTTTAACAACTATATTTTATTACCTCTGAATAAATAAGTACTTATGCATTCAAAAAATAATGAGCCCTGGCTCGAGTTGGTTAGAGCATTGTCCCGTACACCAAAAGGTTGCAGGTTCAATCCCTGGTCAGGGCACATCTGGGAGGCAGCCAATGTTTCTCGCTCTCAAATCAATAAACATATCCTTGGGAGAGGATTAAAAAATAATAATAATAATGAAAGGATATATAAAAATGTCAATAGTGGTTAATCTTTGAGTGGTAAAATATAGAAGTTTTTATGTTTTCCTTATTTTTCAAATTTTACAGTATAATCATGCACTGTTTTTTTAAAGATTTTATTTATTTATTTTTAGAGAGAGGGGTAGGGAAGGAGAAAGAAGGGAGAGAAACATAAGTGTCTGGTTGCCTCTCACGCATCCCCTACTAGAGACTTGGCCCACAACCCAGGCATGTGCCCTAGACTGGGAATCAAACCAGCGACCCTTTGGTTTGCAGGCCTGCACTCAATACAATGAGCTACACCAGCTAGGGCCATGCACTGCTTTTGTAATCTGGTAAACACCCATGTTATTAAGATAGAATAATTTCTATAAGACTTAAAAAATAACCATCTCCTTTGCAGCTCGTGTTTAGTCTTTAATTTCACTTCCATTAAGCCTGTTCATTCGGATAAGATATAAAAGAAAGATGTCACCATGTCAACACTTGATGCTCAAGCTTTTTTGTTTAGTCATGAAGCATTTTCTAACTATGTACACCATATGACAGGTATTATGCAAAGCAGTAAGGATATGAAATTGGCCATGGGATAGTCCCACGTGGGTCCCCTTTCTGGGTGTAAGGGGAACACCCACAAAGAAAGTATGGCTGGTGAGGAGAAGGGAAGAGGAGTAAAATGTGATTTGTGCACTAAGAGATATATAAACAAAGTATATGGGTATAAGAATGATTAAATCCACTGGGGGAGGAGTAATGATCAAATAGGGCCTTACCTACATGGTGATATTTAACAGGATCTTAAAGGAAACTGAGAGGCATTCCAGACAGAGGAGGCATAATAAGATGTGGATGTATAAAAGAGCATGATGTGTTTGAAGGACTGTGGAAAGTGTCATGTTGCTGTACTTAGACTGCAAAGAGGAGAAAGCTGGACAGTCTAGTCTGGTAATGCAAGTAGTTGAGCAAGTTGGACAGTTAATAGGATAATGCAGACAGTTAATCAAAAGTCTTGTACATGCAGCTAAAATATTCAATCACATGAATTATGAGGGACCACTGGATATGTGTATCAGGGGAAAAAGAAGATTAAGTCTGACAGAAATTCAATTCTGGCAATTAAACTGGCAATTAGTATAAAAGATAAAAGCAAAGCAGAATAGATCAGAGGCAAGAAGAGTGGTTTGGGAGAGCCCCACTCTGAAGAGAACCTATAAAATTTCTTTCATTATCAGACCACTTTTGAAGACCAATGCTTTTTTCTTTTTTATAGTAATATGTACAAGTCAATCAAGTGATGCAAATTACAGTTTCCTTATATACAAAATAAAGCAAGTTGAACTACATGCCTTCCAGGACTCTCCTGGCAGTATACTTCTAAGGCCAGGAATCCTTTCTTTTTTAATATTTGATTTGCAGCAAAATTATATAACAATTGCTTCTCAAGTGTGAAACAATGGGTACTGAATAGTATTTCTAAAATGTGCCAACTTTGTTAGGAAATCTTTTTCCTTTTGAATAATGTCTTGCTCCAGAGGTATGATAATGAGGTAAGATATGGGAATAAAAGAAGTGTCTGGGAAAACATTTCTATATTTTGAAGACTGAGTAGAAAATTCCAAGCATATAACTGTAAAGAGACACACAGAAAGATATCACTTGCATCTTAAATCCAAACAGTTATAATTAAAAAGAAGAAACACCTGAGTACATACTATTTCATTAATCCCACTGAGCTTGCCTGAAGTAAGCTTTGGTCTGGAAGCAGGCCTTGGAGGTGGGACAATGGCGCCTACAGAAAGAGGAGTTGTGGGCCTGGCTGGTGGGGGGGAAATTGGAAGACAATCATTAGTAAGTAGCAATCCAACATAAAGACATTCTATTACAGAGGAACTGTTAGGATTCAAAGCTTATTTTTCAGGAGTTTCTTAAAAATGTAATTATAGATATTTGGTGAAATACTAGGAACCATCAATCAAATAAGCTTTTTTGAAGCTACCAATAATAGTCCTGGAAAAAAAAATCATTAAATTTTCAATAAAACTGACACAGATAAATTATATTCCTGTTTCATTTATTTACACATATAAAAATTAAATCTGATAAGTTAGGCGGCATAGACAAACAATTTAAGGTCTAAGGCCTTTAGTTTACTGCCCATACACCTACTCTCCAAACAGAAATGTAAGACCAAGCCTTTGACACACCACCTTCGAAACAGGCTCATGAACTCTAAATAAAACACTTACCTTAATTAAAACTGTAATTTGACTTTTTCTGAACATTGTAACATTTTTTGTGATAAAAGAATTAAAATTATCTTTACTAAAAAAATTTCCCTTCATCACTAATTCATTTTTGGTAAGTGTTGAAGTAGTATCTTAACTTTCCCTAAATTCTACATAAATTTAGTGTTCACTGTTCTTCAACACCAGTTGCAAAATTTGCAATTTAATAAATCAGAAATACTGCCCTGGCTGGCGTAGCTCAGTGGATGGAGCACGGGCTGGGAACCAAAGTGTCCCAGGTTCGATTCCCAGCCAGGGTACATTCCTGGGTTGCAGGCCATAACCCCCAGCAACCGCACATTGATGTTTCTCTCTCTCTCTATCTCCCTCCCTTCCCTCTCTAAAAAATAAATAAAATATTAAAAAAAAATAAATCAGAAATACTAACACTCAGTATCCCTAATCGAAAATAATTCTCATCATGATATAAATCAATGAGTGAAATTCAAATGTACATCATCAGAAGTCACACAATTCAGAAACTGAAAATATAATATGGAAGGGAAGAAATATATTTCAGTTAAATTTTGTAAGTTTACAGGTGTGTAAAGTTAAGAATTATATAAATGGGCTCAAGTATATACATGGGGAAACGAGAGGTAATAAAGCTGAGGACCCTTGGTCAGCAAGGGAGGATTGGAAGCATGAAAAGGAAGAACATGGAGGAGGTAGGAAGTGACCTAAAGAAAAAAGGTAGTCCGCACAGGAGTGAAAGTAAATGCCATGGGGGGTATGGAATCACTTAGAAAGCATACCATATGAAGGGAAAAAAGATGAAGCAACTTTTGGTTACTTGAGGAAAACAGTAGCAGGCCGGTAAGAAATCAAGTCTGGTTTCTGAGGCTGCTGCCCTTGCCCAGTCGGCAGCAGTCCTTTCGTGCCGTACTTAAGCTGCACACTAGAAGACATGTGCCCCAGCCTGAGGACCATCTCTCTCTTTCCACTATGCTATGGCACCTTTACTTTGAAGATGTGTTCATTATGAATGCAACCAGCACTGACAATACTCCAGCCATTTCAAACTTGTGAGAGAGCCTAACACAACAGACATTTACACCTTAACTTCATTATTGATCAATCAAGTGGCCTCTCCAAATGGTAGTTAGATTGACTCAAAACCAAGACAGAAATTGCTGTTTGGGGAAAGCTAATAAAACTCTTTATAAATCAATCTATTAATTATAAATTAACAATAAATTTATATATTATAAATGAATCTATCTGCATATGCCAATTAGGTACTGCTTTCAGAAGCCTTTGAAGGAGATTATTACAATTATTTATAAGCTTAAGCATTTTAATAGTGTCGGTTTTTCTTTTGTAGTAGTAGTAGTAGTAATGTTGACATTGGAGCTCACTTCCAAGGAATGTCTATTAGATGCAATATATTATAAGGAAATAAAAAGTGGCTTGTAAAGTATAAAAACATAGGAGATAAGAGCTAATCTACATCTGCCCTCTGACAATGCCTAGGGAGAACAGATAAGGCCTGTTTCCCACACCATTCTTTATCTGACCAAAAAACCCCACACTAATCTAGACTCCAGAAACAATGATGCAGAAGAAAAATCAGCACTAGTATTAGCTTCTTCTGTCATTCATTTTTGAGGACATGTGATATTATGGCAAAGTCCACTCTGATCCTCAGAGATGCAGCTTTTGGGAGATCTCTCAATCAAAGCATCAGGAAACCCAAAGGTATTTTCGGCTTTCCAGTACAATCTCTGGAATGCTGTCTCAGCTCCCTGGAGAGACGAACTTGTAACAAGTTCATCAATAAAGGAAAGCCACTGATTTTGCAACCATGAAGCAAAAGGAAACTTATGTGTGCTCTCTGGTGGGGCTATTATAATTACTATATAACAATAATTATCTCTTTCAACATCACTAATATTCTTTGAAGGGCAAAATAATTTACGGCATTATTTTTTAGACTTATAGAGGAAGGTTAAAAATGCATACCAAAGTGAATTTTAAAACTAGCAAAAGTGTAACAAATATTTTATCATATCCTAGCTACTAAACATCAAATGACCACTAAATGAAAATACATCACTTTTTTACCTGAATTGAAAGTGATATGGGTAAAACAGTCTTTAGACAGGTAGCAAGAGGAAAAGAGAATGCTTTCTTGAAAATAAAGAGACTGTGCTAAAGAAAATGAGAAACAAAGGGTAGAATTACAAACATAACTAAAACCTCTGTGATACCAATGTAAAATTTTTATTAAAGATTTGAAAAAATAATTCATAAAAGAATATTAATAAAACTGAAAAAGCATTGTTTAGGACCCTCTTCATTCTACATACAAAACACCATTCTTACATTCTTACCAAACAAAAAAGAGACTTAAGGACAACTTCAGCTTTTCCTCTACAATTTTTCTTTCCTTATACTACCTATTGGTAAGGTTATTCTTATAAAACTAATTACTAACAAATGCTCATTGAGAAAGGCTATGCTGACACTTCTGAATATGTTCAACTATCTATTGACTACTTTTTGCTGATTTACAAGTATTAGATACAGACCACTTACTTTCCCTTCAAAGTTACAGATTGTTTCAGATTAAGAGTGCCTAAAATACAATTAAAATTATTTTTAAAATATTACTTTCTAAACAGTCTTATTTAAAATACTAGTGTTCATTTTATTATTAATAGTAAAATGTTTCCACAAGGCTTATTGTTTTGTTAATCTGCCAGAGTACAAGAGATTTTAGAATTGGTAATATCTAGATTTGAATCTATGCTTCATCATTTTCTAGTTACAGGATCTTAGAGAAGTTCCTGACAATCTGAGTTTCTAAAATCCCTGAGAAAGTTGAAGATCAACTTAGAACAGTGATTTTATTTTCTTACTTTGAACAAGCAGCAGTTTTATTAAACATGTATTTCTGATGTCTGCTTTGAGTATTGGCAAATGAGAATTTATATTTTGAAGATAAGAGAAGCTTAACATACTCTTGCCCAAACAATTTAAAAGCATTCATCAAGCCCTTTTAGTCACTGTTTGGGAAGTGCTAAAACCTTTCTGGAAAGCAGTTTGCCAATAAGTATCAATGAGTGTATCTTCTGACTCTTAAATCTTATATTGATAAATTATTATAAGGATATTATGAGCCCTGGCTGGTGCAGCTTAGTGTATTGAGTGCCAGCATGCAAACCAAAGGGTCGCTGGTTTGATTCCCAGTCAGGGCACAAGCCTGGGTTTGCAGACCAAGTCCCCAGTGCAGGGTGTATGGGAGGCTACCACACATTGATGTTTCTCTCCATCTCTTTCTCCCTCTCTTCCCCTCTCTCTAAAAATAAATAAATAAAATCTTTACAAAAAAAGGATATGATGAGATGTGCACGAAATTCGTTATATTCATGAATGTTCATAGTATCAGAAAATCAGATGCAATGTAAATGTCCAGCAAGAAAGCACTGCTTACCTTAATGCACATCTTTACAGCTGAATTTTATTTATACACATTAAGGTTATGTAGGCATCAATATGGCTTAGATATAAATATATAAATGCTTAGAAATAAATTTATTAAAAAAAAAAACTCTGTTGACGTCTGATAAATTTTCATTGTTTAAGCCATAGGGTCTTTAAACTAAGTTAACAAAACCAGGGTAAAATTACTGTTATCTGGCAGTATGATCAAAAAGCAAGTTTAAAAATTTTTTGATTATTAAGTACAACAATAGATAATGAGTAAATCAACTAGAAAAAGTAACTACTAAATTCCTCAGTTTAAAATATATATGCAAATATATATGTATTTACCTGATGATGATGATGAAGTTAACGAAGCTGAAGATGATGAATCAAGAGATGGTCCAAACAGAGGGTCCCATGCAAGTAAATCACTGGTCCCTTTCCTTCCATAGTGTTTTAAAAATAAGAATTTTAATAAAGGAATATTTTATTAGTATAAAATCTACTCACTTATTATTTCATAGAATTATAATAGCTCAACATATATGATTAAGAAGTTTGATGTTCTGCCAACAGAATATATGAAGAAACTTGACAAATTTAATAAACCAGTGTTTTTTAACCACTTTAAGTAGAAATCTACAATAGCATTGTATGAAGGTGGCAGGGAGAGTGGCTAGAAGAGAAATCCCCACTTATCACACCTTGTTATTCTTAACAATCCTAGGGGCTGTCAGAATGGAAATAATGATTTGAGCTTTACAAATGAAAATAAAAACAGAGTCTCTAAATAAGCTGCCTAAGAACACATGGCTACCTAATTCTACAACAATTTCAGATGCTAAGTGATGTGAAATCAGATAGAAATTTTATAAAGTAATGCTTATTTGCAAAGAAAGAGAGTAAAGGATTTTTTGAAAGTACTTCTCATGTACACAAATAAGCCCAACAAGTTGATATAAACTTCACAGATCTGCTCACACAGTAGATGATGCAATTATCTCAGTGAGCTTCCTGGTTAATTCACTGGCTGAGCCAGGAAGGCAGTCTGGTGAAACAGCTGGGTCAGACATGCCTTTTTATGAGATATAACCAAGATTATGGACAAAATCATCAAGGGGATCAACATTCTAGTTTCAAAAAAACTCAACATAATGCATACCAATGATTTTCCTCCACAGACCTATTAAAATCCACTGTACTAGTTACTCTCTGGATTCAACTTCTGGCTCTTTACAAACATTTATATGAATATAATCTCTAGATCCTGAAGCACCTGATCTTAGCCACCACCTCTTTATAAAATTATTTTTCCCCAGCTCTACTGATGTATGCTTGACAAATCAAAATTAAGGTGTAAAAACAGAAATGAAATCCCCATTAAAACACTATTTTAAAGCAGTGGTCCCAACCTTATTGGCACCAGGGACCGGTTTCGTGAAAGACACTTTTTCCACCGATTGGGGGGCGGGGGGCAGCAGATGGGGGTCAGGAGACAGGGGGTGGAGCTCAGGCAGTAATTCCAGCAAAACTTCACTTGCTAGCCCACTGCTCACCTCCTGCTGTGTGGCCCCACTCCTAACAGACCACAGACCAGTGCTGGTTCATGGCTAGGGGGTTGGGAATCCCTGTTTTAAAGTATCAAACCACCACTATTTTTAAAAAATATTTTTTCAAAATCTTAGAAAACAGGCCCACCAGATAATGAAAATGTTACAATGATCCACAGGCAATGTATCTATTATCTCAACACGCATCTACATGGATACACACATTTTGCATGATAAAGCGTAGCTAGAATTACAATTGAAAAAATGATTCCTAGTTTTAAAACATTCTACAACTTATCTTTAGAAATGGTAAATCACCATTTCCATTTGAATACCACCACTATACTCAATTCATGCCTAGCTTGAAAAATATCAAATAATTTTAAACTACCCATTAATTAATTATCCATTAATTAAGCCTTTTTTTACCCATGCAAAAACATTAAAAGAAAGTAGTCTTGATAGATACAGAATGAAAAAGGACCCATGCAATATTGGCTTAAAATATTTTTTCTTTTTAACAGCTGGCATGCTTTCTAGCCCTCTCCTTTTTCAACTTGAGACAGTTCCTCATTTTGAAGCTCAAGAAGTATACAGTCTATTTTATAAGGTCACAGCCAAAACTGAAGGGAAAAAGTGAGAAAATTTCCATGAGAACAACCAGCTGAAATACAGACATGTATAAACTTGGAATACTATCATTTATTTAGAAGCAGTGAGGCCATCAAGGCCAAATACAATTGAATGAATTTTTAAAAAATTGTTATAAAAAGGAAATATCAAATGAGCAATGAAAAACTCCACAGGACACCTGACAGCTTAAGAAACAGGATAATTCCCAACATCCTACTGGAACTGAAACTGCAGAGATAATAAAACTCTAGAAACAGGACAAAGGATATTTCAGATTTAAAGGTAGTGGGGAGGGAAAAATAAAAAGCTGGAGGAAATAGGAATTTTAGGGCAAACCATCCTGTATAAAACTATAACGGTGGACATATCATTATCCATTTGTCAAAATCACATGATGTTTAACACCAAGAGTAAATCCTAGTGTAAACCATGCACCCGGGCAATAATGATGTGTCTATTAGGGTTATCGATCACAACAAATGCGCTGCTACTATAGTGGGGGAGGCTGAGCGTATGTAGCGGCAGAGTATACACAAAACCTCTGTACCTTCCACTCAATTTTGCTGTGAACCTAAAATTGCTCTAAAAAAATAAAGTATTTGTTAAACAAATTTAAACATGGGACTTACTCATTGGATGCAGCAGATGGTTTCGATTTTGTTAACTCTTCACCTAATTAAAAATTACCTCATTACTATAAGCAATTTAAAAATTCTGGAATAACAAGTATAATTTAAACAAACGTGAAAAAACATCAGCTTTTAACAAGTTTTCTATTGTGAAGAATATTAAAATAGCTGACGTTCTGCTAAATCTTTATTTCTTCTAACATATGTAGTGAGAAATGTAAGTTGAATCAACTGACTTCTCTTATTTATTAAAATAAAATGGCTGCTCAAAAGAGAAAAATATGGGCTGCAACTTTAAAAATTAGGACAAATTTTAAGTACTTAAGTAAGTTATCACTTAAGACTTTTAACTGCTGAATCATGAAAGCATTTCTCACATTCTAAGATTATTAGTAATTATTATATCGACTAAAAGTAATTACCAACGCTTGAAGGATCCTACTTTAAAAAATTAAAATTTGTAAAACCTAGAGTAACAGTCTCTATAAAATAGTCTCTTTTGCATTTGTAACATGAATCATTTCATAAGCAACTAGTACACAGGGGAAAGGCATCTGTAATGCAAAAGTCATGTTGGTTCATAAGCACTTTTCCCTGCACCTAAGTATTTTACACTATCAAGCAATGGCTGATGAACCCAAAATACATCAACATGGGTAACTGCAACAAACTACAAGGAACACCACCACTGTACACGATGCCTACTCCACACCACATTCTCCCATTTGGCCCAATTTAGCATTTTCCTCTAAGTGCTCATTGGGCTGTTCCCCCTCCATCTTTTTGCATTTTTCCCTCATTTCTGTAAGTTGATGGCCCCCTTTTATCCTCATTTTCTTCATATTCTCTATCAATCTACACACCATTTCTTTTTAAAAAGTAAAACACTGCATTGTTTGATATTTAGTAAATTTAATGGGTCTCATTTATTTTTTTAATATATTTTGATTATGCTATTACAGTTGTCCCTTTTCCCTCCTTTATTCCCCTTCGCACTGCACCCCTTCCCCACCAGCATTCCCTCTCCTTAGTTTATGTCCAAGGGTCGTACATATAAGTTCCTCGGCTTCTACATTTCCTATACTATTCTTAACCTCCCCCTGCCTATTTTCTACCTACCATTTATGCTACTTATTCTCTGTACCTTTTCCCCCATTCCCACTCCCCACTGATAACCCTCCACGTGATCTCTATTTCTGTGAATCTGTTCTTGTTCCAGTTGTTAGCTTAGTTTGTTTTTTTGTTTTTGTTTTTGTTTTCTTTTAGGTTCGGTTGTTAATAGCTGTGAGTTTGTTGTCATTTCAGTGTTCATATTTTTGATCTTCTTTTTCTGAGATAAGTCCCTTTAACATTTCATATAATAAGGGTTGGGTGATAATGAACTCCTTTAACTTGACCTTATCTGGGAAACACTTTATCTGCCCTTCCATTCTAAATGATAGCTTTGCAGGATAGAATCATCTTGAATGTAGGTCCTTGCCTTTTATGACGTGGAATACTTCTTTCCAGCCCCTTCTTGCCTGTAAGGTTTCTTTTCGGAAATCTGCTGATAGTCTAAGGGGAATTCCTTTGTAGGTAACTCTCTCCTTTTCTCTTGCTGCTCTTAAGATTCTCTTCTTATCTTCAGTCTTGGGTAACCTAATTATGATGTGCCTTGGTGTGTTCCTTCTTAGGTTCAACTTCTTTGGGACTCTGGGCTTCCTGAAAGTCTACTTTCTTTGCCAGATTGGGGAAGTTCTCTTTCATTATTTGTTCAAAAAAGTTTCCAATTTCTTGGTCTTCCTCTTCTCCTTCTGGCACCCCTATAATTTGGATGTTGGAAGTTTTCAAGATGTCCTGGAGGTTCCTAAGCCTCTCCTCATTTTTTTGAATTCTTGTTTCTTCATTCTGTTCTGATTGAATGTTTCTTTCTTCTTTCTGCTCCAAACTGTTGGTTTGAGTCCTGGTTTCCTTCCCATCACTGTTGGTTCCCTATAGATTTTTCTTTATTTTACATAATGCAACCTTCATTGCTGCCTCGGTCTTTTTGTGCTATTGAAGTACCCAGTGAGTTCCTGGAGCATCCTGATAACCAGTGTTTTGAACTGTGCATCTGACAGGTTGGCTATCTTTGTCGCTTAGTTGTATTTTTTTGGGAGCTTTGAACTGTTCTTCCATTTGGGCCATTTTTTTGTTGTTGTCTCAGTGCGCCAGTTATATAGTAAGGGGCAGAGAGACTCAAGTGTTTTCCAGGGCGGGGCAAACCACCTCGCTCCATCATGACACTGTATGTGGGGAGGGGTCCAAGAGGGAACAGTGCTGCTTGCTCCGCTCTCTGCCAGCTTTCAGTCACTTCCCCTGCTACCCACAATCAAATTGGGCCCTTCTGGTGCTGATTCCCGGGTGAGTGGGTTTGTGTACATTCTAGGACCCTTAACTGCTATTTTTTTCTCCAATGAAGTCTCCTGAGAGGCTGGGAGTTTCTCTCGCTGCCATCTGAACCCCCACAGGTGTTTTCAGTCAGAGGTTTGCGGCTTTATTTCCCCGCACTGGAACCCTGGGTTGTGTGGTCTGTCTTGCTCCCCAATTATTCCTCCCGGTATACCTGCACACGAATGTGGGGGCTGCCCAGTCTGCAAGCCACCACCTCACCTGGTCCACCAGCCACCACCTTGGAGTCCTCTCCACTCGGCAGTCTGACTCCGCCCGTCCTACCAGTCTGGATGAATGTTTCTTCTTTAACTTCTTGGTTGTCGGATTTCTATTCAGTTCAATTTTCTGTCCATTCTGTTTGATTTTTGTTTTTGAATTTGTTGTTGTCCTTGTTTTGGTTGTGAGAGGAGGCACAGTGTGTCTATCTACGCCTCTACCTTGGCCAGAAGTCCAGAAGCTACTCTTTGTTTTTGCTGATTTCTAAAAGCTGTAGTATTCAGGTATTAAAGTTTAAGGCAGGGGTGTCAAACTCATTTTCACTGGGGCCACATCAGCCCTGAGGTTGCCTTCAAAGGTCCCAATATAATTTCAACTTCTTAAGAGTTAAGGATTATACAGTCCTAGAATTATTTCAGCCCTTTGAAGGCAACTGCAAGGTTGATGTGGCCCCTGGTGAAAATGAGTTTAACACCCCGGGATTAAGGCATGTCTCAAAGCTAAAAGAGATAATGTAATTTGTCTTCTGTTATAAAATAAATATCCTTTTAGTCTATTGTTGTTAAGGCTCATGAGAAAATCCTATTTCTAAAACTACATGTGTAAGGCCATATAAGCTTAGCAAATCGCCTGATAAATTTTAACACTAATAAAATAACCAACTTAAATGTCAAACTTACTAGACGAATTCTGATTCATCAGCACCTAAAACAGAAATACAATAATTAAGTGCCATTAAATAAATAATTTTAATCTGGTAATGAAATATTTTATAAATTGTTAACACTAGGAACCTAAATTTTAAATTGCTTTTAGTAAATCAGCTCAATTGTAAACTGCAGTTACATAAAGATATACAGAAAAGACTTTTAGTAGTTTTTTATACTTAAAAAAAAAAACGTACTTTTAACATTCAATGAAGTGTTTTTAAATATGAAACTATTAAATATCTAAAGCAACTCACTATGACTTGCTAATTTATAATATTTAACGCAAATATTTTGAAAATCAATATTCAAACATTATAATTTTTTAAGGTCAATAGATAAAAATATAAAATCTTGCACTTACTGGGCTGTGTCTCTAGCAGTACATAGAAAAAGAAAAGAGATAATGATTTTTTAGATTTTAAAATATAGTATTTTCTATTTCCTCTCACCAAAATAAATAGACGAAATATCATACTTTCCAGTTCTAATAATTTGTGTATTCCCTTCCGAATCATACCTACAATCTATCCTCCTTAAAAACATACACTGTGGGGGAAGAACACTTAAGCCAGATAAGCAAACTGGACAACAAAATATACTCACGATGTCCTCTTCTCACACCCAATATTAAAAATGAACAATTTTATTATTATTTATTTTCTGAGAATGAAATTAATACATGTTCAGGTTTTTAAAATAAATATATAAGAAGAGCACAAAAGAGAAAATTTTAAACCATCAATAAGCTCACCACCCAGAGATTATTGCTTAACATTTTGATGTATATTCCTCTAGGCTTTTTTTTAATGGTAGAATAAAACCTCACTTCAGAAATCTGCCTTTTGGGTGGGAAAAAAATTCTAAAATTAAATTTTAAAACTGAATGGGTGAAAAATCTTTTTTGGCCAAACACATACACAGAGACTACTTAAAATATATAATCAAATAACAGTATGAAACAGTGAGGACTTTTATTCTCTATTATCAAGGAGAACAGATTTAATATCAATTATGAAGATGTACTGACACACTTAATATCATTCTAAGACATACTTTCACTGCCCCCAGAGTTTAACAATTTTGAATTTAGACTATGATGTCAACAGAAAGATAGAGTATGATTTTTTTCACTCCCTTAAAAGATATTAAGTGTGGTATCTCAAAAATGAGAAATCAATCACTATAACCAAGAATTCTTACCTTTCCCTTTCCTTCTATGAAAAGTATATAAAAACAAATGTTACACTGACAGATAAAAAATGCAAAGATATCATTTAATCTTTAAATTCATTTTTACAGAATTCCCTTCTACATAAAGTTCACAAAAACATAGACAAAAACTTAAAAATTCAATGAGGGAAGATTAATACTGCCACTTCACAAAATTCTACCTGAGTCATATAGCACTATTTATAAAATACAACAAATGGTAGAAACAGATTTTCTTTTGCTCCCTTTGTAATACACTTTGAAAAGGAAGCAAAACTAAGCCAAACTCACAAGTTCATTTGCCTGTATAAAAATTATAAATTATATACCTCAATAAAGCTAAATTAAAAAATATAAATATTTCATTATCCAACATGCTTAACTATCACTAAGTGATGTTTCACTTTTTATTATTCTGAAAATTAAGCAGATGCAGGTAGTCATGGTATTTAAAAAAAATACTTCCATATAAGAAGTTCAAACTTGCTCATTTTCTTACTTACAGATATTGCTGGGGAGAGCGTTATATTTCCTATAGACACTTTTAATTCATCCAAGGAAGCCATTGTATGGTGTGAGTTATTTGGATGCATAGGTTTTATTTCTATCCGATACTTCTTTGGTTCTTCATCTTCAGAATCAGAATCACTAGATGAGTAGAAGTGGTTCTCTTTGGTATGTGAGTATCAGTTAAAAAATTTAGTTTTTAAATTGTCTTAATGCATAACCATTTTTTCACACATTCATAAAAAGTTAACAAAAACCTTTAAGAGATAGGACTTTAACAGAAATATAACTTCTAACTTTTGTTAATAAAAACATGTCAAATGAAGGCTATGGGATCATTTTATGATAATTAATTAAAAACCTGAAAACCCTTTTTAAAATAATGGAGTATTTCAACTGTCCACTTATAATGATAACCAATCCATAAGAATATTCAGATGATAAAAGGATATCATTTTGATTTGCTTCTGGTTTTATACTATAGCCTTCTTCATCTACATCAGGAATGTTCTATGGGAAGAAGAAAAAGAAAACTTTACTGTAATGAAGGCTCCAAACTACAAAAATATTATTAAACCTTAACTATTACTGAGGGGCTATATCATTTATCAAATATCAATAGGTTAACAAAATCTTAACACTGTGGGGAAATTATATCTTTTAGTTACTTAGATTCAAATCACACTCCATTCTTCAGAAGTCTGAAATAGAAAAGCATTTCAAAATAAAACAGAAGGAACATTGAAAGGTATACAACAGGTGTTCATGTGAAATGCCAGCAGTTCTGTAGACAATCAAATTTTCACAGTAAAAAAAAAAAAATGCATGAGACTTCCGGTCAAGATGGAGGCATAGGCAGATACCCTTTGCTTCCTTGCACAACCACAAGAAAGATCACAAACAACATCAAAACAAAAAATACCCAAAACTGCCAGAAAATCAAACTGTATAGAAGTCTGACAACCAAAGATTTAAAGAAGCCATATTTATCCAGATGGGTAGGAGGGCCGGAGATGGAGAGTACGGGGGAAGAGGATGCAGCGTAATACCAGCAAGGTGGCCCATGGAACCAGTAGTCCCACACTCACATGTGGTAGATAACATTGGGAGGGATGCCTTGGGAGCAAGTGACCGCAGCCCCAGGCCAAACCACACAGTCCAGGTTTCCAGTGCCAGGAAAATAAAGCCTCATAACTTCTGGCTGTAAAAACCAGTGGGGATCGGGGTGGCAGAAGAAACTGCAGGTCTCTTCGGAGAGGTCACTTAAAGGGCCTATACGGTCCTAGAATGAATGCTTCCAGTCATTTCACCCACTCTGAGAACCACCACCAGGGCAACTAGAGGGGCGCCAGTCACATATGTTAAGGTGGTGGTGGTGGTGGTGGTGAAATGACTGGAAACTGGGTGGGGACCAAACAAGTCTCAGCATCATTGTTCCTTCTCCAACCCTTCCCCCACATACAGAGCCACAAAGCAGTGAAGCAGGTTGCCCTGCCCTGGCAAATACCTAAGGTTTACCCCATATAACTTAACAGGCACACTAAGACAAGGAGCCAAAGTAGCTCTACTTAATACACAGAAACAAACACAGGGAGGTTGCCAAATTGAGGAGACAAAGAAATATGACCTAAAGGAAAGAACAAAACCCCAGAAAAAGAACTAAGAGAAATGGAGGTAGCCAACTTACCAGGTGCAGAGTTCAAAACACTGGTGATAAGGATGCTCAGAGAACTCACTGAATATGGCAAAAGCATAAGGGAAGAAATGAAGGCTACACTAAGAGAAATAAAGAAAAATCCACAGGGAACCAACAGTGAAGGGAAGGAAGCCAGAGTTCAAATCAACTATTTGAAACATAAGGAAGAAATAAACAATGAACCAGAACAGAATGAAGAAACAAGAATTCAAAAAAACAAGGAGAGAATAGGAAGACTCTGGGACATCTCCAAAAGTGCTAATACCCAAATCATAGGGATACTAGAATGAGAAGAGGAAGAGCAAGAAACTGAAAACTTACTCGAAAAAATAATGAAAGAAAGCTTCCCTGATTTGGTGAAGGAAATAGACATAAAAGTCCAGGAAGCAGAGAGAGTCCCAAGGAAGTTGGATACACAGAGGAACACACCAAGACACATCATAATTAAAATGCCAAAGGTTAAAGATAAAGAGAATCTCAAAAGCAGCAAGAGAAAAGAAGCAAGTTACCTACAAAGGAGTTCCCATAAGACTATCAGCTGATTTCTCAAAAGACACTCTGCAGGCTAGAAGGAACTAGCAAAAAGTATTCAAAGTGATGAAAAGCAAGGAACTACAATCTAGATTACTCTACCCAACAAAGTTACCATTTAGAATGGAAGGGCAAATAAAGTGCTTCCCAGATAAGGCAAAGCTAAAGGAGTTCATCATCACCAAGCCATTATTATATGAAATGTTAGTTCATCAAAACTATGAACATTAAAATGACAACAAACTCATAACTATTAACAACTGAATCTAAAAAAACAAAAACAAACTAAGCAAACAACTAGAACAGGAATAGAATCACAGAAATGAAGATCACATGAATGATACAACCTATAAATAAATATGCAGTTCCTCCTATACAATAATAAAAAAAAAGATTATATGGAGTTATCAGCAGGGAAGGGGGGAGGGGGAGAATGGGAGAAAAAGTACACAGATTAAGAAGCATAATTGATAGGTACTTGATAGCAAAATAGGAAGATGTTCAGAACAATAAAAGAAATGGAGAAGCCAAAGAACTTACATGTTTGACCCATGGACATGAACTAAGGGGGGGATTGCTGGAGTGAAGGTACCAGGTGGAGGGGGGCAAAGGGGGAAAAATTGGGACAACTGTAATAGAATAACCAATAAAATATACTTCAAAAAAAAGAAGTAAAAGTGCAAGACTGTGTGTGTCTGTAGAACGGAGGTGATGAAATCAGAGGACAGCTTAAGTAAATGGAAATAAATAAAATATATACAAAAACAAAAAAATATATAGCCCTGGCTGGTGTGCCTCAGAAGATTGAGCACTGGACTGTGAAGTAAAGGGTTGCCAGTTTGATTCCCAGTCAGGGCACATGCCCAGGTTGCAGGCCAGGTCCCCAGTAGGGGATGCATGAGAGGCAACCACACACTGATGCTTCTCTCCCTCTCGTTCTCCCTCACTTCCCCGCTCACTAAAAAAATAAATAAAATATTTTTTAAACACACACACACACACAAACAGAAATAAAAGATGACCTAGAAAGTTAAAACTACACTAAAACACTACTTTTGCTCTTAAGACTGGCAAAATTCAAAAGCTTGAAAATACCCTCTGTAGGCAAAGCTGTGGAGAAATGTACTCTTATACTTTGCTGGTATAAAACAAAATACCACAGGTCCTTGAATAAGTTCCTTCTGTTGTAACATTGACTAGATGCCACAGGAACTTAATTCTTGTTTATGTCAATTAGCTAGCTTATGGTAAAAATGGTTTAGTTATACAAGGTTTCACTAAAAACAGAACCTATCAACAAGGTTGAGGACTTACTGCAGTACAATCCCTCCAGAGAGAAATTTAACAATCTCTAAAAAAACACCATGTATGTGTTTAACTCTTCCACCCAGGAATTTGACTTCAAGGAATTTATCCCCAAAATACACCCTCAACAATTTAAGAGTATGTACACAACAAAATTATTCATCAAAGATTATCGATGACTCAAAATTATGGGAAAGTACCTAAATGTCCAAGCATAGCTGAATAAACTATGATATATACAAAAAATAGAGTAGTGTACAGCCATTAGAAAAAGAAAAACATTTTTATGGTCTGATATGGAGTGACTTCCAAGAATTATGGCTAACTAAAAAAAGTAGAAAAGAACATATATAGTATAATGTCTTTTAAGTAAGAAAAAAGAAACATTAAGATAGGCATATCTGCTTATCTTTATGAAAACAACAACAACACAGTTAGAATAAATCAAAACGAAGCTGGTCATCTACCAGGCAAAGCAATGAAGTAGAAGGAATGCAAGAGGAAGGGGCACTTCTCTAAGTATGCCCTTGTAATTACGTAAGAGTATTTCTACTTTCAGAACACAGGATCTTCATTCGAATTTGCATCAGAATGAGACTATTCTGAACATTTATGTTTAGACATCATTTTTATTTCTTTTAATGAAAAGAGCCCTGTTTTTAATGAATGCTCTTTTCCTACAGGATGTCTATTTTACCTTTTATACTGATTTGTATAAAAACTTTATAATAGAAAGTAATTAGCCCCTTGTTACATGTCTTGTAAATACTCTCTGCCAATTTATCTTTAGTTATTCAAATCTTTTATGGAATATTTTTTCTAAATTTTATACGTTTTTTATTTCTACACAAATTTACCAATCATTTCTTATATGGCGTAAGAATTTTGTGTCCTCTTTAAAAACCCTTTTCTAATTCCAGATACATACTGACTAAAGTTCAAAATTGGTTCATACTGGTCATTATAGAATAAGCATCAAATGAGCTGAGAGAATTAGAAATGTTTTATTTAGGGAGTATATATAAAATAAAACATTAAGTACTAAAGGATTTTATGCAATGTTGCAACCATTAAACAAATGCTATACACAGTTAATTCAAAAGTAAAATAAATGCATGAGTATTAAAGTAAATGCCAAACACATCTACTGGCTTTTTCGTTAATTAATAAACCAAGTATATCAAAACAGGCAAGTGGTAAGATAAATGTTTTAATTCTAAAAACACTCTGATGATTCTCAGAGCTCATTAGAAGGCTTTTTCATTATTTTCACTATAAATTTATTAACAAAATAAGAAAACATAGTTTTCTTATTTTAAACCTGAAATATGAAACTAAGTACTAATTTTATCTTAATATAAAACACAACGTTTCATAAAATACCTAGTTCTTTATTTTGGTACAACCATTATGCTGTAAAAAATGAAACTATTTTGGAACCAAAAGAAACAATAATTATGCCAGCAAAAACAGTAAGGAGAGGAGATGAAGAGCCTGACTACTACCATTTAGCAACATGACCAGTGTTTGAGGAGCAATCTGAAAATGTATGCACTACTTACACCATTTGGTAAATCTACTCTTCTGTGTAACCTCCATTTGATATCTTCTTTAATTGTATATAAAGAAACATATTTAAATAAGGAATAAAAATGAATTTTCTTTAAAACAAAATAAAATGCACAGAAAAGTACTAACAATGGTTATTTTTCCTAAAATGACAATCTCTTAAATAAATACAGGAACAGATAAAGTACTGTCTTTAATAGATCTAAGACTAAATTAGTAAGAGCACCACATTTCAAAATAAAGTATGCAGATTTGAGATGTGGCATATTTCCCAAGAAAGAGCAATATGCTGTGGCACCACTCCCCCAATTTCAAAAGTTAAATGTCCACTTGTCAAAGATAATTAGAAACACCTTCTATTTAATAGGAAAGCATTGGCAATATAAAGCCAGAAGTGCATATGTAATAAAATTTTAATAATGAATTTACAACAACATGATTAGTATTTTTCTTGGAAAAATGTATAAACAACTGAACCCAAATATGTTGGGTATTTCCTAATGAAAATGGCTAATTTAAATTGTTTATATCCAAGTAAAATCTACTTACAAGTGAATCTGCATCAGGGCATTCCCTGTTAAAACAAACAAAGTATTAGAAATAGCCAACTATTAGAACTGTCGATAATAATACTTTATTGAAAGTGTTTACCTTGGTATGTAAGCATAATTTTTATTTAAAATCTATAAAAATACTTAGAGAAATTATTTCATGAAGATTAAAATATGCCAAATGATTTTAAAATTCAAAAAAAAGCATTCCTATACCTATAATACATGACAGAATACACATATTTTTTAAACTACTTACAAAAGTATTTCTTTTTTTTAAAAAAGATTTTATTTATTTTTAGAGAGGGAAGGGAGAAAGACAGAGAGAGAGAACCATCAATGTGCGGTTGCTGGGGGCCGTGGCCTGCAACCCAGGCATGTGCCCTTACTGGGAATTGAACCTGCAACACTTTGGTTCGCAGCCCATGCTCAATCCACTGAACTATGCCAGGCAGGGACAAAAGTATTTCTTTCCCATGAATACACACATGAATCTTATCAAGGAAGCTGTCAGTCTTACAAGGATTTCTAGTGACCTTTAATTCTTCAGGGAGACAAAGTGTAAAAAAAGTTTCCTTCAGAGAAGAAAGCCCGGCTTGGTAAATAACATTTCTACATAAATTTTCAAAACTTTTTAAAAAGTCTACACTTTCAAAACTGAAGTTTAAAGTGTACTACTTTCTATAAGCTAGTCTATATAAAAATCAAAACCACCTTTAAAAAAAGATTTTATTTATTTATTTATTTCTAGAGAGGAGGGAAAGGAAGGAGAAAGAGAGGGAAAGAAACATGGATGCACCCCAACTGGAGACAGAACCTACAAACCAGGCTTGTGTCCTGACTAGGAAGTGAACCAGACAGAGAGACCTTTTTTGCTTTGCAGAACGAATGCCAACTGAGTGACACCGATCAGGGCAAAATCAGACTCACTTTTCTCCAAATTTGTTAAATGAGTATTTAGACTTCCATTTGGAATAGTTTTCTAATCTAATGTAATATGTAGTTCAGAACTGGTATTTTATCATTTAACTGATAAACAAATATGACTGGATATACTGTAAATTAGTAAAAACTTATTTTAAATGTAAAACTAAACCATAATAACCAATCTTCTCAATTAACTGAATAAAGACCTAAAAATGTGAAATTAAAGACATTGAAGCCATGAGGAATAAGATTAGAATAATTTTGCCTGGCTGGCGTAGCTCAGTGGATTGAGCGCAGGCTGCAAACCAAAGTGTTGCAGGTTTGATTCCCAGCCAGGGTACATGCCTGGGTTGCAGGCCATGACCCCCAGCAACCGCACATTGATGTTTCTCTCTCTCTCTCTTTCTCCCTTCCCTCTCTAAAAAATAAATAAATAAAACCTTTAAAAAAAAAGAAAATAATTTCTATGTATACATTCTAAAACAAATTTACAAACAAAAATTAGAGTGCATAATTAAAAGGCATTTGTATTAGTTACATAATCTTTAGCTTGAGACTGATAATGCACATTATATCAAAATGTGGCACTTTAACAGACTGAAAATATAGGCTTTATGTTCACCTTAAGAGCCAAATTAACAATAAAAAGCACTAAACTAATATCTAGGATAGACAAGTAATCTCTATCTACCCAAAGATTAAGCACAAACCAGGACAGTCTACAAATTGAAGAATTTTGTTACAGGAAAATGGAATGGAATAGACTGAATAAATGAAAAAAGAGTGAGATGACTGCACTGCTTTTAATCCAACTGAATCACCAAGAGGTCAGGGTAAATGAAAATCCCATATATCTTTATATTTACTTAAAACCACAATTTTGAAAAAGAGCTTTCTTATTATTGGTAGGTAAGAAAAACCTATGTATAGCATTTTGCTGTGTGTAATGCACTTTTGCCTAAATTTTTGAGGGAAAAATAAGGATGCCCCTTATACCTGGGTATCGTGATTACATACCATGGGCATAATAATCCTGTGTATAATGCACACAAAAACATGGGTGTACATTATACACGGAAGCACATTATACGCAGCAAAAGACGGTACTCGGAGAAAATGTTCTACTAGAGAGGCACTGTAATAATAAATTCAATCCCTCTACAGAATCAAGTTAATTAAGATGTTAGAATATTTCTACTTTCCACCTTTTTAAAAAGATACAGTTTTAAAATAAAAGCAAGCGTAAAAGTCCCAGTTTATCCTCTAGCTTTAAGCCGGAACTCTTGAGCCTTTGTGCTCAAGCACTCGTCTGTCTGCCTTCACAGTGGGCTCTAAGAGACCTGCAGACAAAGCCTGGGGAAGAGCACACTCTCAGCAGGACCCCTCTTCCACAGCTGCTAGCATTTCAAAAGACTTCAGGCTATGAGAGTAAGTTTATCAAGAGCCTTAGGCATTTTAAGTGAAGTAAATTCTAACTTTTTTTTCCCTGCCAGGAAGTACTGAAAGAAAGAAATCATGGTGAAGTGGCTTAAGAATAATTTTCTGCCCTAGCATTCTCATTGGTAAAAATATTCCAATATCCAAATGGCCTAATGATCACATTGGGAAATTACTCATCATGAAAAATTATTTGAAAATACATATATGTAAAAATATTACAAAGTACAGAGAATTATAAAGTTCCCTGAATGAACTGCTGTAAAAAATATGTATTATAAAAATATTTCATTTATAGCCATTTCTTTTTATAATATAATCCCTAACAGATGAACTGGTGCATTAAAAACTTACTTACAAATCAATTGTTTACATTTCCAAATGTATTTACAATGTCATAAAAAGAGATTAGGTTCTATTCCCCTGAGCAAAATACTTAATAAAAGCTCAAAAAAGATATTTGCAGAAGAGATGGTAACTACAGATATAAATCACTATGCAATTGGTCTTAATTTGTTAACCAAATACACCACTTGGGAGAGGGGAGGAAACAGACATTTAGAATTGTAGAAATTCTGAGAAATTCAGATAAGAATATAGCTAAGTAGCAGGCAAAAACACCCAAAGCACAAATTGTTCTCTTGTACTGCAAATACGAGTACTCATCAAAATATTAAATCTCATGAGAGTTCTGATTATGTTAGAGAAGTAAGGATTTTAAACAAATTTTCAGCCAGGTCAATGAATCACTTTAAGACATTCACTAAGTGTCTCTTCAATCCAAATGGGTTGGGTAATTATGAAAAGAAAAATTATTTAATTCCAGTTTATCTCTAGTTAATCACAGCTCAATGACTGTCAACCCCAGGTGTATTTTACAATCACATAGGCTGCTTAAAATGAAACAAAACAGAAATTATGCTGGGGCCTCTTGCCCAAGAATCTGTATTAATTGGTCTGAGATGGGGTCTGGCATAGATATATTTATTTTAATTTCCCAGGTAGTTCTAATGTGTAGTCAAGGTAGCACAACCTTACTTACCTAATATTAGTTGAAATTCTTTTATGCTAAATTATATATTCTTTATGTACTACTTTCCTATTTCTGAAAAAGGTAAATCAAATGTATACTCCATCCTCCATCTAAAAATGATGGATAGTATAAACGTTCAAACATGTTAGTGCTTTTTTCCCTCCCACATTTAACATTTTCCACTTAGGCATACAGATGGTCCAACTTGATACTCTTCAACTGATACCCTACAGTGTACAGATACTCGATACATGATGGGGTTATGTCCCAATAAACTCATTGTAAGTTGAAAATAATGTAACATGAAAATGCATTTAATACAATAACCTACTGAAAACCATAGCTTACTTAACCTAGCCTACTTTAAATGTGCTCAGACACTTACTTACATTAGCTTTCAGTTGGGAAATTATCTTGAGTTTCATCTCAAGAATATTTGCCTTCCTTTTCTCACCAGAAGCAGGTGACATAGATGGGCGTGTTTGTAGATATGATAGGATGCAAAACGCAAAACACAGTATCTAAAAAACGCTGGCATCATTGTACACTGTCAAGTACCAGTTATTTCATCTCATGATCTAAGGGCTAACTAGGAGCTACAGCTGGCTGCCACAGCCTAACATCACAAGAGAGTATTATATTGCACATCGCTAGCTGGCGAAAGGATAAAAATTCAAAACTCAGAGTACAATTTCTACTGAATGACTATCCCCTTCACATTGTTGTAAAATTGAAAAAACATAAGGTGAACCATCATTAAGTCAGGGACCATCTGTACTATGTTGCTAGTGTTTCTGGATATTGTGTTCTGAGCACATTTAAGGCTAAGCTGTGATGTTTGGTAGGTGTATTAAAAGCATTTTTTACTTACTGTATTTTCTGTTATTGCAGGTTTATCAGGAGTTAACCCCACTGTAAGTCGAGTAGCATCTGTACATAAACACTATGTCCCTGCGTGGTTAGAGCTGTCTAGAAGGATTTTCATCAAATGGTTGACTGTGGGTTTTTCTTACACATCAAGACTTAGAAGAATTTTTAACTTTCTCTGTGTTTTTAATATTTTAAAATATGCACATTATCTTATAGAGTATCTTAAAAGTTTCCACTTTAAAACACTAAAGCTTTCATCTGAAAATTTTAAAATAAGTGAATACTTTTAAGTAAAACCAGAGAAGCTGGCAAATGTATTTAGAAAAGTTTGTATTTTTCACCCCTCAAACATATATAATTTCAGTTATTTCCAAAAGAAACTTCCCTTTTTCAAATTCAAAACAATAGTTTAATTATTTATAACAGAAAGGATTTTAACAATATTTAATATACTTACACAGACTCTGCATCCTTTTCCTTTTTAATTATTCCTGGCAAACCAAATGTCTTTCTTTTTCTTGGTTTTATACCTTAAAATAAATGTGTATTATTACAGAAGCACAACTGTTCCTGATAAATATATTAAATTTATGAATACATCTTCTATCTTGACACACAATTTACTCATTAACTGTTGATACTAAATTTTGATGAAATAAATATTTATTGCTAAACCCTAATTTTAAATCAGTTATAGTCTGTTTAGACTTATATTAATGTAACATAGCCTATTATTCACCCAAAGGTTTTAGAACATTCATTCAATTGATGAAATTCTCTTTTCCTTTCTAAGTAGTCCCCAAGTCATATCAGACAAAATAAGCATTTGCAGATATCTTAAAACTTCCAAGAAAGTATGCTACTCACTATATTATATTTTATTATAAGTACAAGTCAAATCATGTTCCCTGCTTGAAGGGTCACAAAATATAAGTATGTTGTTTTAAATAAAAAGATGACACAAAAGATCCACTAACAGTAATAACATGGAAAACTTACAATATGGCATTCATGTTATATCTAATATAAGCAATATTAAAAGTGGATCCTACCATAAATGAACAAATATAATTTTTGTTTTGCCTAATACAACAGTTCTTTATAGTTTTCTTGCATGACAAATTAAAGTCTAAAGGTCAATCATGATATTAAATTATTGATGGAATTTGGTACTTAAAGCTTACCTGCCTACTCTATGAAAGCTGGAGCACACCTAAGCTAGCTTCTCATCTTATAGATGAAGAAACTCAAGGGTATTTTTGTTCTTTTTTTAAAATCAGTGGTATATAACTAGTAAACACTCTAAGCCAGGATTATAATGCAGGTGTCTCAGAATAATGTACTTGCATTCAAGCAAAACGTACCCCTAAAACCATACATTTATATAGCACGTTATAATATTTTAAAAATCAAATACAGTTTTATTCTTAGTATTATTTACTATCTACGTTTTATAGTAACGAAAGTTGAAGTACAGAGAATTTAAATCATCACTGCTCTCAAAGAGCTAGTAACTATAAGAAGCGTAGGCCCCAGAGCTCCTGACTATTCCAGTAATAACCTTGCATACAAAAGCAAACCATTTCTCTAAATTCTTACACAAGTCTTAGAAAAATCAGAATTTTGCTTTCAAATTAGATCTAGTTGCTCACAAAGTAAGATATATGAAATATGATGAAAACAGTAGGCATCTCTTGGATTTCATACTATGAAAAACATCAATTTAAATAGAGTGTGGACCCTTTCTCAAGTCAAAGCAACACCCATCTGAATGATGGTAATATTAACATTAATGCATAACCTCATTAATTACTGAAGCATTACCTACTATAGGACAAGCACTATATATTAATGTGCAGTAATGAGCTTCGTATTTATGACATTAGAATGTTTAAAAATGGGTGTCAATGAAGAAAACGATGTCAATGTGTATTTGAAAGCAAGTGCATTTACATTTAATCTTTTAAAATGTATATTCTAACCGATAATAATCCTTTTAGCTAACCTACTGTTTATTTATTAAGATGAGATTCTGTAGGCCTTCAAACCATACTCAGATTTTTTTCATCATTTCATACACATGCTGACACCAATGGAGAGCAGTCCCTCTCTATTTGTTCAATAAACAAGACATTAGCTAGTTGCCATACATCACAGCTGGTCAACTTACCTTCAACTGCACTAGCAGGATCACATTCTTCAAATTCAATAAGGCCTAAAAAATATATATATGTATATATATGAACAACTGCTAGTTTAAAAATAAAAGCTGGTAGAAAACAATCAAATCAAACCCCATTACAATAAAGCTGATCCTTAAACAACATGGATTTGAACTGTGAGGTCCACATTTATGTGGATTTTTTCCCACTAAATATCTCTGCTGTTTTTGATTCATAGTTGGGAGTTCACAACTGAGGGCCCACTGTATGCATTGATCTACACCACTTTGTGCAGGGGACTTGCACATCTACACATTTCGGTATCCTTCGGGGTCTGGGAACCAATCCTCCCATGAATACCAAGAGACAACTTAAGTTTCAGGGGAATAAAGCTATATACAAATCTTCAACCATGTGAGGGTCAACACCACCAAACTCCACATTGTTCAAGGGTCAACTGTATCTTCCGAAATGTTTTCCAGTGCCATGTGAAAATAATTAAAATATCAGTAATAAATTTAAAAATCAAGTAATCCTAACAGTTAAAAAAATGGAGATTAGCCTATTAATATGATCATAATTTACTGAAAGCCCTTTATATACAAGGTCTGTCTGGAAAAAGTCCAGCCATTGTTAAAATTACAGGAATGGTTTGCACAAAATTGATGTAATACGCATGAGTGAATGATGATGACTTCACTGTACTAATCGGTGGGGGTGGCAGATCCTCTTGAGTGAGCATGTGTACTGTGTGGCTGTTGCATTAGAAATGACTGAGCGAGTACAGCAATGAACCTGCATCAATTTTTGCATTAAGCTTGAACATTCCTCCACAGAAACTATTCGGATAATTCAGAAGGCTTTAAGGAACGGTGCAAAGAATGTGGTACAAATGAAGTGTGGCTTTAAAGATAGTGAAGAATCTGTTGAAAATGATCCACATTCTGGAAGGTCTGCAACAAGCAGAACACCTGAGAATGTTGAATGTGTACGGGCTGCAATCCACAAAGACTGGCAACTGACAGTGCGAGAACCAGAAGCTGATCTGGGGATTCTGAAAACTACTGTGTCCGAGATTTGGATGCAGAATCTTAGCATGAAACGTGTCATGGCAAAATCTGTTCTATGGCTTTTGCTGCCAGAGCAGAAGGAACACTGTGCTGCAGTTGCTAATGACTTGATTCAGACCACTACCAATGAACCAGATTTCCTCAAGCAGGTCATAACCAGAGATGAATTGTGGGCCTACAGCTATGATCTAGAAACAAAGGCCCAGTCATCCCTATGGAAGTTGCCTCCTTCTCCACGCCCGAAGAAGGAATGCCAAAGTCACAGCAAGATCAAGACCACGTAATGTGTTTTTTAGACTGGGAAGGTGTTGTCCAGCATGAGTATGCCACTCCAGGCCAAACAATTAACAAGGAGTTCTACCTCAATGTTTTTTGTTGGTTGAGAGATGTAATACAACCACAACAGCCATGGCTATGGGCAACTGGTGATTGGCAGCTTCATCAGGACAACATGCCTACTCATGCATCATGTGTCGTGAAGAGTTTTTGGTGAAACATCAAATCACCCAGGTGACTCAGCCCACCTACAGCCCAGATTTGGCACACTGTGACTTCTGGCTTTTCCCAAAACTAAAATCACCTTTGAAAGGGACGAGATTTCAGACCATTCAGGAAAATATGATGGGGAAGCTGATGGCGATGGGGAGAACTGTGTGAGGTCTCAAGGTGCCTACTATGAAAGGGGCTAAGGCATCACTGTCCTATGTACAGTGTTTCTAGTATCTTGTATCTTCTACAAGAAATGTCTCTATTTTTCACATTACATGGCTGGATACTGGACAGATATAAAAATACATCTAGAAACACTTTGACATCACCTTGGCAAATACAGCATATATTCTTTGAAGATTTTCAGATACCTTTATATATGTGAAAATACTAAAGGCATCCCTTAACACTATAAAATTAATCCCTTTAAATAAAATTCTATTTTCTCCCCTACAAAACCTTTTTCCTATACCAGACATACTCTTGATGGCTTTTCTCTTTATCTTTTCTAAACATCCCCTTAAAATCCATTTGAAATAGGAAAATGTACAATAAAAACAAACTACTCGAAATGACATTTTAAAGTATAAGATGGCAAATCCTTTCAAATTATACATATATTTAAATTTTTTAAATGAGTACCATCCACCCATACATAAGTTTTTCTATAAAAGGTCAGAATACTAACAGTTTGTGGTATAATAAAACTAGATATATCATTTAAAAAATACATTAAATCATGCATGAAAAAAGATTTTCTTTTCACATGGCATATGCTCCACATGGCAAAGCTTTGCATGCCTGGCTCAGTGCCAGCTGACAGCTCAGGTGGATATCAATGGATATTCTGATCACACCCACAGCATGTCACTTCTGAACTGTTTAACAAGTAGAAAGTTTATTCAACATCCCTCAAATGCTGTCCACTGCCCATGATTGTGCTATTTAGTCATGAGGTAAGTTACTCTTCCTGACAATATCAAAGCCAGAGCAAGAGCCAGAAAGAACAGTTTGCTACAACTGGAATTTCAACTCTTTTAGGCTCAATTAATTCTGTTATCAAAATAAGTAACTGCTCTAGCCCTGGCTGGCATAGCTCAGTGGATTGAGCACAGGCTGCAAACCAAAGTGTCGCAGGTTTGATTCCCAGTCAGGGTACATGCCTGGGTTGCAGGCCATGACCCCCAGCAACTGCACATTGATGTTTCTCTCTCTCTCTCTCTCTTTCTCCCTCCCTTCCCTCTCTAAAATATAATTAAATAAAATCTTTAAAAATAAAAGTAACTGCTCTTAGTAGTAGATTTTATACTTGGCCACAATGGCAACTTAGTTTATATAAAAGTAAGACCACTGTAGCTCTGTCTCCTGGTGCTCTTTTATACATTATCTAAAAATGACATCATGAGTTCAATTAAGGGCAGAAGAAATTAAAAACAGACTTCTGAGAGATCAATAATCTAAAGCAAAACAATTCTTACATATGATGCTTTAATCATCAGGTAAGAATAAATTACTGCTATCAAAAAAAAAAAAGAAAAAGTCAACAACCTAAAGAATTCATCCTACTCTAACTTGGATCAAAACTTTTATGGAATGTTATAGGAAGAAAGATTATTTATTTAACAGTAATCTTTAATCACTGCAACTATTTTGTGGAGTGATGTAGAGAATAAAAAACGTGAAATATTAAATTAATAGTTCCCATTGTTTTGGAATCAATTCTAAATCTCAGGCCATGAACAGGGCAAATTTGCAACTCTGTCTAGTTAAAGTAACCCTCAAAACTCAAATAATAAATCTGGGCTACTCAAATCAAGCATATTCCAGAATATGCCCAACTGAACCACAGAACACTTGGTTCCAATTAGAAGCCAAAGTGAAAGATACAAACACGGCCAGACCCTCAAGTCTAACAAAAAGAATGACAGTGAAGGCTGTAGGGGAAGAGGCAGAGGGGTGGGAGGGAGGAAAGAAAGATGGGTGTGACTCATAGTAAGGAGAGTCAATGACACATTCTCTAGCTTGCTCTTGGGTCTGTGGAACGCAACACAGCCACATTCCTACATGCCTGGAATGATGAACCAGGCAAGCTAGCATGGAAAAGGGCATCAAATTCCAGCTTGTAGTGATACACAAAGGGCACAGAGGCCCAAGTTCTGGTTTTAACACGTGCCTGCTAATTGATTACCTTGGACTAGTTACTACTTCGGAATCCAAGTCATATCATTTTTATAAGTGATATGAGGAATAACAATAATACGTTTCATCATATTTGCTTTCTTTTTCTCTCTACATATATGTTTGTAGGGTTTTTTTCTTTTTTCACTTGCCAAATCATTTACAAGTTGCAACATCAATGTTACTTCACTTCAAGAGTATTTATTTAAATAAAAGGCTCAAGGGAAAAATTCCTTTAATCTAATGGTCCCAAATCCCAACCCCTGCATCAGAATCACCAGGAGGGCTTGTTCTACCACAAACTGCTGGGCCCCACCCTCAGTATCCTATTTGGAAGTTATAGGCTGGTGTTCAAGAGAGTACATTTTTAAACACATTTCCAGGTGATGCCCATGGTCCTGGGATCACACTTTTGAAAACTACAGACCTAGTAAACCCCTGGTTCCATTGCCAAATATCCAGTAAGTCTAGAGAGTGTTTCTCCAATTTTATTGTGCATACAAGCTGCCTAGGAATCTTATTAAAACGCAGATTCTGATTCAGTAGGCGAGGGGAGGGTGTGAAATTCTATACTTATAACAAGCACCCAGTGATGTAGTGCTCCAGGTTCTCAACAATGGCTGCATATTACAAGCAGATGAGAAATTTTAAAATATAATGGTACCAAGGACCCACCCTATACCAATGAAATCAGTGTTTCTAGGATAGTGCACTGTCTGTACTTTTTTTTTTTTTAAGAAAAGAGTAATGGCAAGGGAAAAAATTTCTAAAGAAAAATTTTAAGTTTTTCTTATATGTACCCACAGCTTGAGAACCAGTGATGAGGCAAACTTAGGAACCATGCATGGTCTTAAAACAAATAAACAGAATTTTAACCGTGGAATTTCAGTCACTGTAAAAACTTCCAAATTTTCATTTCCCCAAACACAGAATCTCAACACTGAAATATAATTTGCTCCTACATCCAAAATCTGACAATGCGTCCGTAATCCCAGACTGAGTCATATTTTCACCATGTAATCCTGATAAAACCTTGGGCAACTGTACCCAGCTCACTATAATCTCTTTTCTCTGCTGACCTACCCCTTCTCCACAAGTGGTACAGAAGCCATATACATACTGCATGACCTAGTCAGAACTGACTGGACTAGAAAGATTACCTGACTCAACATTACTTGAACCAGATCTTTCTCTCAGAAATTTGGAAAGGGACAGAAACCTGGGTTAATTCTGAGCTGTGGCTGCCATTTAAAAAAAGTAAAAGAACGTAGAAATTACTGGGAGGTCACCTTAATGTCATGAGCCTGGAAAAGCAA